GAACCCCTGAGCTCCCACTCGCCTGCAGAGGGCTACACCCTGCACCAGTCCGCAGGGATTTAAATCACCGGTGCAGTGGGGCTGTAACAGGAGCTGGGCTAAGCCGAAACGCAAACACCTGCACAGCCCAGAGAAGGGAGCCACAACGCCAGGTGTGTTTCTGCAATCGCACCAAAGTCCGCATTTCGCTTCCGCCGTCAGGGCGCCTCGCCACCCCCCTTTGAACGATCTCGCCTCAAGACCCTCCCCTTCCACCCCACAGCAAGGGGGGCGCGTTATGAACCACCGGCCTTAACACCCGCCCCCCCCCGGCAGCAGCCCGGGCCCCCTTGGCGGGAGATCTGGCTGGGCCAGCCCCCAGGGAGCGACTGTCTGGTTTTCACGCCCCGGGGAAGAGCTGACTGGTGCCCGCCGCCTGGCAGGCTACAGCCCCTGGACGCCCTGTCTCCCGCCCCCTCCCCGAGCGCTTTGTGGCAGCCGAGCCTGGAATCCCGCCCGCCCGGGCGGCCCAGCGAGCTCCGGCGGCCACCAGGCTCCCGCCAGCGCCCGGGGAGGGGAGGGGAAAGGTGAAGGGGAGGGCAGTGACTTTGCACCACGCCGCCACCTGCCCCTTTGCCAGCCGCTCCCTCTCCCCCCGCCAGGCTCCTCCCCGCCCGCGGCCGCCGCCGCTCCGTGACTTTCCCGGCGCGGGGCAGGGGGAGCAGCAGCGGCGTCAGCGGGGCAAACTCCACGGCTCGCCCGGCAGCGGCACCGCTCTGCAGGGACCAGGGGAATCCCGCCCCACCGCGGGTTAGAGCAACGCGGGAGGCTTCCCCGCTGCGGCAGGCGGTGAGGGGGTTGCGGTGGCGCGCGTGTGTGTGTGTGTGTGTGTGGGGGGGGCTCGTTGACCCCGCCTGCAGCCAGCGGCGACTCGTGTGTGTCCTTGGCAGCTGTCTTTGGAAACTCGCTTTCAACTTCTTGGCTGGGCCGAAGGCAGCGCCTCGGGTGGCCCCGGCGGCTTGTGCCAACGCCGAGATCCCAGCCCTGGAATCGCACGCCGGCTGCGCTCGGTAGGGGCTGGAGCAGGTTCGTCCCTTGGCTGTGATCGTGGGGCGGGCGATCGGCACGGAGTGTAGTTATTGGGTGGTTAGGTATTGCTGAAAAATAGCCCTTTCCATATGCAGGTAACCATTCAGGAGCCCTGGCTTCCCCTGGGAGTTTGTGGAACAGTAGATGTTGCCTTTCCAAAGGGATCTTTTGATGCCCCCTCTGGTCCCCCTTATATGACAGCTGGTGCTTCATAAATAACCCATCCTTCATGCCAGGCAGGTGTCTCAGAAAGAGGTGTCATTCGACGAGGATGGGATGGCTTTTGTTTCCAGGATCATGTAAGCAAGAAGGAAATGAGATTGTTGTTACCTGCCTTGTCTTAGCTGTTTGAAATTTGGCGGCTTTAGGCTCATCTTGATGTTCTCGGGGAATACAGATCTGATGTGAATGTAGAACTGGGTGCTAGGACCTCTTGAATTTTGCAACAAACTTGCTACCTGCTACTAGGGATTCATGTGTCTGCTCTGTGCCTCTGTTTCCCCATTGGTAAAATGTGGATAATGGATATTTTCCTTACGGGGGTGTTGTGAGGCTTTACTTGGCAAAACACCTTGAGGTCCTTGGATGGAAAGCATTATGTAGTGCAAAACATTAAATGTGCATCCTGATTACTGTATATAATGTATACAATAGTAGTGTCATTGGTAGATATGGTGTCTTAAAGGCAAAACAGACACTTCCTTATATTGTAATCATTTCAGAGGAACATCTAATTTATGAAATTGTGCAAATAGTCTTTACGCATGTGAGTAGCTCATTGGTTTTAGTGGGGCTACTAGCGAGTGTGACTCAAATGAGTAAGGATTGAAGCATTAGGGCCTAACTTGCTTAGACACCCACCACTGTATGCCCTTGCCCACCACACACATCTCTTGGGTACCACAGTGGTTGTTGAGCATAATACACAACCCTGGATAAATACATTTTTCCATCCTCTGCCCCACAGTAGATAAGAGGAATGGGAAAGCCTGAGTGAATACTGTAGATGGAATAATAGAGTACTTTGATATCCCTGGAAAAAAAGGCCACTAGTGCTCTGCAAACAGTAAATTAAACCTCCTAATACCTCCTGAGTAAATATCCACCTTTCACAGTTTGTGGGGGAGGGGAACTAAGGCACTGAGAGATTGAGCAATTTGTCCAAGGTCACACTGAATGGCTGTCAGAGGTGAGACTAGCTCAGAATTCTTTACTAGTCCTGTACTCTTATAATTCAATATCAACATATTTTTATATATTCTTACAAAAGACCCCATTTCTGGGTACACATTTCATGCATTTTCAACTAAATTCATATAAGGTAACTCTTCCCACCCCCAAACTATCTCTTCTTCCCCCCCAGCCCAATTTAAAAAAGGATTCTGGGGGTGAAATTTTTGACCCCTTTGAAGTCAATAGCAGAACTTTCATTGACCTTAATAGGGCCTGGATTCACCCCAGGGTTTTTCAGCAGTAGACCAAAGAGAGACAAGTATAGTCTGACTTAATTCCTTTAAATATCCAGTTTTTAATATCTCTTATTTACTAAGTGCTAACAATGTCACTGGCTCTGTAGAAAGCATTAAATTACAAAAAGAAAAGGAGTACTTGTGGCACCTTAGAGACTAACCAATTTATTTGAGCATGAGCTTTCGTGAGCTACAGCTCACTTCATCGGATGAAGTTCCGATGAAGTGAGCTGTAGCTCACGAAAGCTCATGCTCAGATAAATTGGTTAGTCTCTAAGGTGCCACAAGTACTCCTTTTCTTTTTGCGAATACAGACTAACACGGCTGTTACTCTGAAACCTGTCATTAAATTACAGTCCCTCCTTTGCAAGCTTCTATTCTAAAAGACCCAGAGGAAACACCAGCACAGATTGGGAAACTCAGAGGTGGGAGCAACTTTGAATTTTGATTTCAGTGGTTTGTTACTTCAGATGAGCATCACAAAAGAAATGATGCTGTAGAGGTAGATGGATGAAGACAGGGAATTTGCTATAATCATTGCCGTTATACAAATGTGTGTGGGACACAGAGGAAAAACATAATAAATTCATATTAGGTTGGGCTAAAACAAATAAAAGCTGAGAAATACAAATTAAGGCTTGACTAAAGTAAACACAGGCTGAGAAATTTAACCTTTAATTTGACACCCAGGAAAGACAACAGTGTCAGCATAATTTTAAAAACTATTAATATAGTTCAAATATAGTACAGTAGTGCTACCAGGAAATCCCCCACCAACTTTAAATAGCAGGTTGGGTGTTGGCCAAGGTAACTTTTTGGAGACACCCACTATCTTTAAGGTCCCAATCCTTCAAGCTGATGCTCGTGGATGAGCCCCTACTCCCATGCACTGTTCCAGTAAAGTCAATGGATGACATATAGATGCAGGGGTCTGTACATGCAGTGCAAGTTGCAGGATCAAGGAAATAAATTAGACACTTGTGGCAGCATAACTAATCATAAATAGAGAGGAGCACATTTATTTTGATTTAGTCTATTTTCTGGTCCTATAATATGCACTAGTAAATGAAAATTACTGATCACTTATTTATTGAATGTATTCAAATATTCTTGATTTTTTTTTCTACTTCCCGTTTCTGGATTCCTTGTTTGCACTTGTAGTGGAAGGCCAGTTGAGTCAGGGCTTTGGAGCGGAGCCTGGAGCTGGAGCACGGAGCAGCTCCAGAGCAGCGGAGCTGCAGGTTTTTGCCTGGAGCTGGAGCACAGCTCCAAAGCCCTGAATTGAGTTGCATGGTATTGTTTCTGTTCCCTACCAGAATTAGCACACAAGTACTTCTGGCATGAACACTGGCTGATGTGTGTGGTGGGTTGCTTTTTTGCTTAAATTGGATGTTTAACTAGACTTTGCTACTGCCCTATGGCTCTCCAGTTCCTCCCTGTGGCACTTAGTATGAAGGGGGCAGAGTTCTGGTAATGTACATGTGCAATATAAATAGAACCATTTCTGTTTTTCTTTAAACCTTATTTTAAGTACCATATGCAGAATAATTCAGCAGTTTAATGATGTCCCAGAAAATACTCTGGTCTGAAACAATCAAGGAACACAGGAGCATTTACATTTTATCAGTGGTGTGAGTCTTCTGTCCAGATACTAGAGCTGGGTGGGAAATAGTTTTCCTATCCTGAAAAAGTTGTTGAGACTCTGAAATTCTTTGTACTGAATTAGGACAAAGAATTTCAATCTTGAACATTTTTGTGAACAGAAAATCCCCTCCCCAAATTTGGTTTGTGTTTATCAACATATTTCATAAGGTACCTGTTCCCTACCAAACACTAGGTGGGTGAGGTAATATCTTTTATCAGACCAACTTCTGATGGTGAGAGAGAAAAGCTTTCGAGCTTACACAGAGCTCTTCTTCAGGGCTGGGAAATGAATTCAGAGGGTCACAGCTAAATACCAGATGGAACAGATTGTTTAGCATAAATAGTTAACACATATTTCAAGGGACCATTTAAGATGAAGTGGCCCATTAACACCCTGCCAGTCACAGGGAGGAAAGGGGAAGGGAAAGCATTTGAGGGGAGGGTTGTTAGTGGGTTTCAAATTGTTGTAATAAGTCATAAATCTGGTGTCCAGTCTGTGATTTTTAGTGTCTAGCAAAGTTATGAATTTAACCTCCCAGGCTCGTCTTTTGAAAGTGTTGTGCAGATTTCCTTTTCGAATGAGGACTGATCGCTTTGTGAAAAGTGTTCAGTTGCAGATGATGTGGTGATTTTGTCTTATATAGTTTTTATTTTTTCTGAGAGCATAGTGGTGGTTTTGTTTCACCCACATAGTTGCTGTTGGGGCATTTAGTGCACTGGATGAGGTACACAACATGTTGAGATAGACAGGTATCTGACCCCTGGATCTTGAAAGGTGTGGTATAGGAGGGGGTATTGACCATTGTAGCAGTGGAGATATGTCTGCAGGTTTTGCATCTCTTTTTCTGGTAGGGTCTGGTACTGCTTTGAGTTGGTGTGCCCTGCTTGTGAAGAGCTTGCTTCTGATTATGAGCCTGGAGAGGCTGAGGGGTTGTTTGAAGGCCTGAAGAGGGGGTTTAGGAAAGATTTATTTCAGAATGCGTTCAGGCACTGTAACAGAAGCATTTGTTAATACTTCCCTGATAAAATGAAAGATGTCAATATTTTGATGAACATATAGTGCAGGAGCTCAAATGAGCACAGATGATCCAATAAGACCCTTTCTTTTAAAAGTAATCAGAATTGGAATATTTCAACAATTTTATTACACTTGTGTGTAAATCATGACATTATTAATTTGACTAATGCAAAATGCTATTGCTTCTTAAGTAGGGATATTGGCCTTGCTCCATGTATCTTGCCTATGCAATAAGGACTGAAGGATTGGGGGATGTGTGAAAAGATCACACAAAGTGAACCTGTAAAACAATTCCTTTCCCTGTTGTTTTCTCCTTTTCCACTCAGCTAAAATTCTTCAGTAATCTTGTTTACATATACACTGTTGAAAACTTGTTGGGGGTCACAATTGAATGATGGGTTTCAGAGTAGCAGCCGTGTTAGTCTGTATACGCAAAAAGAACAGGAGTACTTGTGGGACCTTAGAGACTAACAAATTTATTTGAGCATAAGCTTTCGTGGGCTACAGCCCACTTCATTGGATGCATAGAATGGAACATATAGTAAGAAGTTTTTATATATACAGAGAACATGAAAAGGTGGAGTAAGAGGTTAATTAATTAAGATGAGCTATTATCAGCCAGAGAGAAAAACTTTTGTAGTGATAATCAAAATGGCCCATTTAGACAGTTGACAAGAAGGTGTGAGGATACTTAACATGGGGAAATAGATTCAATATTTGTAATGACCCAGCCACTCCCAGTCTCTATTCACACCCAAGTTAATGGTATCTAATTTGCATATTAATTCAAGCTCAGCAGTTTCTCATTGGAGTCTGTTTTTGAAGCTTTTCTGTTGCAAAATTGCCACCTTTAAATCTGTTACTGAGTGGCCAGAGAGGTTGAAGTGTTTTCCTACTGGTTTTTGAATGTTATGATTCCTGATGTCAGATTTGTGTCCATTTATACTTTTTGTGTAGAGACTGTCTGGTCTGGCCAATGTACAATGATGGTAACTGATAAAAGGTGGGGGAGGATTTGTGGTACTCATAACAAAAGGGCTATAAAGTATAGTGTATCATTTTTAAAGACAAAATTTTGCAATGGAATTGTACTATTGCTTACTGTGTGAATTTGGGCAAGCCTCTTTAATCTTTCTATGCTCCAGTTCTCTATCTGCAAAATGGGAATTATATTCTTTCTCCCATGCTTTGTCTGTCTTGTGTATTTAAATTTTAACTTTTTGGGGCAGGGACTCTCCTATGTATATGTAGTGTCTAGCACAACGGGGTCAGGATCTCAGCTGGGTCTGTTGGAGTTACTGAATGACAAATAATAGTGTGGAGGTTTTAATATACTGCAGTGTACCTTTCTAAGGCCATGTCTACACTACCAGTTATGTTGGTAAAACTTATGTTGCCCAAGGGTGTGAATATTCCACCCCCCGGAGCAACATAAATGACACTGGCATAAGTGGCAGTGTGCACAGCAGGAGAGTTTCTCCAGCTGATGTAGCTACCGCGGCTCGTCAGCAGTCGTTTAATTGTGCTGACAGGAGAACTCTCTTCCATTTGCATAGAGTGGCTACACAAGAGATCTTACAGTGGCACTGCTGCATTGGTACAGCTTTGCCACTGTAAGATCTCTAATGTAGATATAGCCTAAGTAACCATTCTTTGGTAACTTGGGAGTTTTTCTACCTGTAACGTAATGTGTTTTTTATTGTGTATTTTGTTTAGCCATGACTATTGATCAGGACCATGATTTTGCATCATTTACAGTTTAGTGTGTTTGTGTTTTACTTTCTTCCTTGTCTTTTATCCTTCCTCATCAAAGTGTTTGCTCTGACGTAGCTTGACTTATAAATAACTGGTCTGATTTATTTACTGCTGATTCGTATCTCAGAAACTGGGCAAACAGCTAATAAGATTGCTAAAAACGTATAGTGAGTACAAAGGTGGAGGACATATGCTGTCATCATGAAGCTGGAGATGTCTAGACTAAGGTGAGTGAGTTTGCTTAAATTAGGCTTCTGAAAGTACTAGCATAGTACTGGTTTCCATACATGTTGTGTTGCTGTCAAAACTAGTGCTGTCTTTCCTTTTAGGTTATGTCTACACTACCACTTATGTCGGTATAGTTTGTCGCCCAGTGGTGTGAAAAAGCCACCTTCCTGAGCGACATAAGTCACACCGACCTAAGTGCTGGTGTGGACAGCGCTATGTACTGGTGGGAGAGCTTCCCACACCAACATACGCCAGCCTCCACAAGTGGTGGTAGCTATGTCAGCTTAGAGCGGCTACATAAAGAGCTTACTTACAGCTGCGCTGCTGTAAACTCTCTAGTCTAGTGTAGCCATAGCTGATTACAGAGTCTGAGGAAGCTAATGTAATTAATAATAGGACTTTTTGTTTCCAAAGCTCTGTACGACTATAAAGTAATTCAGAACACTGTGTATGGCTTGTAAGCATTAATGCCGTTTTCCAGATGGGGAACCGGAGACAGAAAGAAATTACTTACTGTCAAGCTTTGAGGAAGTCATTGGCAGAGCTGAGATTAAAAGTCAGGATTTCCTGATCCCCAATTCCTTCCTCTAGAAATTGTTTACTTGTTTTAGTAATAGAGTAAAGGCTCCTAACTAGTGGGACTTTTGGAGACATTATGGTGTGAGAGGTCTTTCTTACAGTGTGCAATAAGCTTTCAAATACCACACAGTGATTTCAAATATGAAAAAGCTACTAAATTTAGGAGCAGACTAACAGTGATCAATTACTTTAAATATTTGAACAATGACCGGTCTTTTGTTCTACTTTTAGTTTTAGCTACAGATATATGTTTCAGTCGTGACTGATTAGAACAAACAAACAGGGATTTGATGTCCTCGTTCCTTAAATATTTGTCTCAATTTCAAATGAGGAGACTGGGAGGAAATGGCTGATTTTGTTTACTGTATTTTTTGAGGTGCAAAATTTATTGTAAAACTAAATTAAGATATTGGTAGCTTTGACACTGAGTAGCTTCAGGCTTCCCATAGGGTGAAATCAGATGGCTAGAATCTTTTTGAGGAATTTTCCCCAATTCCTTAAGAACATTATTGAGGCACTGCATTTTATGTGTTAAACATTAGAACCATTAAAAATGCCATATTAGTAACTGTACCGTAAAAATGCAAATGCAACAGGACTTGAGCTTCCCTTTCTCCGGGTCTGTGATTGGTGGATATTGTCAGTGTCTATGCTGGGTGTTCAGGGCTAAAATTCCACCTTTGTTATTGCACAGTGTTTTGCCAGCTACTTAGGGTAAAAAGAAAAGGAGTACTTGTAGCACCTTAGAGACTAACCAATTTATTTGAGCATGAGCTTTCGTGAGCTACAGCTCACTTCATCAGCTGTAGCTCACGAAAGCTCATGCTCAAATAAATTGGTTAGTCTCTAAGGTGCTACAAGTACTCCTTTTCTTTTTGCGAATACAGACTAACACGGCTGTTACTCTGAAACCTACTTAGGGTAGCAAGTTATAGCCGTGACTAAAGGGATGCTGGGAAGGCTGATGGCTCAGATTTAACATATAAGATATAATAGGGATATGTCTAATGCCCAATTAGTTGTGGAAAATTTATCTACTGCTCTAAAATAAGCTTTGCAGCATCCTCTGCCTGGCAATCCTATGATAACAAGCACAATTGCACGTATGTGACATTCTTCTACTCTGGAGGAAGTGCCTGGGGGAGAAACTGTGGGAGAAGGAGGTAAGAGAGGTGCCAGTGAAAATATTTAAAAAAAAAACATGCTTTCAAAATTCTTTCTGGTGACTTCTAGTATGTTGGTTATTCAAACATTTTTATTATTGTGATTCAGAGTTTTGTTTCTGACGGTTGTGAGGTCATCTGAGTAAAAAGTTCTGAATTGTGTGTCATGATCAACTCTTTGCATAGGCAAGGAACTACCCAATAACAACCTACACTTTCATAGGTTGTTATTTTAATAGTCTCTATTAAAGGATCTAGCTGTTTCTAATAGCAAGGAACAGTTATGCGGCCTTCCCCCTCCCACCTTTTTAATAAGCTATATCTTGTATATGCACTGAAAATAAACCCTGTACTTTTGCATAAGGCTTTTGGAAAGTTTCTGGTTCAGTCATAGCAATTTTTATTTACACAAACATTTCTGATTCATGCTTTGAAATATTCTCTTACTGGTTTTATTTACACTATGAACTGGCAGGCCTGCAAGCTGACAAAACATCTTCCAAACTGAACAAAAACAGATTTTGGACTGACCATATAGTTACAATATCATAATTAATTTGATCTACCACTTTAATGGAAATTTTGATAGGCAGAAAACTATAAATGTGCCCAATATGCAGGTAAAACCATCTTTGGACAGCCCAAGCTAAGGAATGTCCAGTATTTTACCTTGGATGGCTGGTCTTGAAGATAAACCTAGAGTGCTTCAGGAAGTGTTGCTGGTGGTCTCCCAAAGGCCTTCATTCTTCCCTGTAAACCAGTTATCAGCTAATGGTGCAGCATTTCAAGGTCATCAGATATTCCAGGGCACTGTTCCTGAGCGTGGGTGTAGGGCAGAGGAAAAGAGTTCTAAGAGGGCACCTGGTAAAGTGACCACTCCAACTTCCATAAAGTCAGTGGGAGTTTTTCTGTTAACTTCAATGATTATTGGAACAGGAGTACTTGTGGCACCTTAGAGACTAACAAATTTATTTGAGCATAAGCTTTCGTGGGCTACAGCCCACTTCATTGGATGCATAGAATGGAACATATAATAAAAGATATATAAGATATAGTACATATAGTAAGAAGATATATGTGTGTGTGTGAACACAGAGAACATGAAAAGGTGGAGTAAGAGGGTAATTAATTAAGATGAGCTATCATCAGCAGGGGAAAAAAACTTTTGTAGTGATAATCAAGATGGCCCATTTAGACAGTTGATGAGGGTGTGAGGATACTTAACATTGGGAAATAGATTCAATATTTGTAATGATCCAGTCTCTATTCAAACCCAAATTAATGGTATCTAATTTGCATATTAATTCAAGCTCAGCAGTTTCTCATTGGAGTCTGTTTTTGAAGCTTTTCTGTTGCAAAATTGCTACCTTTACATCTGGTACTGAGTGGCCAGAGAGGTTGAAGTGTTCTCCTACTGGTTTTTAAATGTTATGATTCCTGATGTCAGATTTGTGTCCATTTACTCTTTTGCGTAGAGATGGTCCAGTTTGGCCAATGTACATGGTAGAGGGGCATTGCTGGCACATGATGGTATATATCACATTGGTAGATGTGCAGGTGAACGAGCCCTTGATGGCATGGCTAATGTGATTAGGTCCTATGAGGGTGTCACTTGAATAGATATGTGGACAGAGTTGGCATCAGGCTTTGTTGCAAGGATAAGCTCCTGGTTTAGTGTTTTTGTTGTGTGGTATGTGGTTGCTGGAGAGTATTTGCTTCAGGTCTGTAAGCGAGGGCTGGTCTGTCTCCCAAGATCTGTGAGAATGAGGGATCATTTTTCAGGATAGGCTGTAGATCTTTGATGATGCGCTGGAGAGGTTTAAGTTGGGGGCTGAAGGTGACAGCTAGTGGTGTTCTGTTATTTTCTTTGTTGGGCCTGTCCTATAATAGCTAACACAAACTGGTAATTGGTGTTGGTAATTCTGGTGCAAAAGCCAGTGACTGACGAGGCACTATAACTTCATCCCTTTCTGCAAACACAGGAGGAAATAGTTCGTGAAATAACAAAGGATAAAGTCAGGTTTCAGAGGAACAGCCGTGTTAGTCTGTATTCGCAAAAAGAAAAGGAGTACTTGTGGCACCTTAGAGACTAACCAATTTATTTGAGCATGAGCTTTCGTGAGCTATGAGAAACTTACTTTAAAAATTCCTAGCAGTATCTTACGCTATGGAGAGTGAAAATGCCTGGTGAACCTTACAAATTTGGGTTGACATAGTTACAGCACTTGGGGTGTTAAAAATCCGCACCCCGAGCACTATGCTGACCTAATTCTTGCTGTAGGGGCAGCTAAGCTGACAGAAGAATGCTTCTGTTGGCCTAGCTACTATTGCTTAGGGAGGTGAAGTTTACTACTGTGTTGGAAAAACATCTTCTATTGCTGGTTTCAGAGTAACAGCCGTGTTAGTCTGTATTCACAAAAAGAAAAGGAGGACTTGTGGCACCTTAGAGACTAACCAATTTATTTGAGCATGAGCTTTAGTGAGCTACAGCTCACTTCATGTCTGTGATTGCGTGACCAGAGAGATTGAAGTGTTCTCCGACTGGTTTGTGAATGTTATAATTCTTGACATCTGATTTGTGTCCATTTATTCTTTTACGTAGAGACTGTCCAGTTTGACCAATGTAAATGGCAGGGGGGCATTGCTGGCACATGATGGCATATATCACATTGGTGGATGTGCAGGTGAATGAGCCTCTGATAGTGTGGCTGATATTATTAGGCCCTGTGATGGTGTCCCCTGAATAGATATGTGGGCACAGTTGGCAACGGGCTTTGTTGCAAGGATAAGTTCCTGGGTTAGTGGTTCTGTTGTGTGGTATGTGGTTGTTGGTGAGTATTTGCTTCAGGTTGCGGTCGGAGAACACTTCAATCTCTCTGGTCAAGCAATCACAGACATGAAGGTCGCTATCTTAAAACAAAAAAACTTCAAATCCAGACTCCAGCGAGAAACTGCTGAATTGGAATTCATTTGCAAATTGGATACTATTAATTTAGGCTTAAATAGAGACTGGGAGTGGCTAAGTCATTATGCAAGGTAGCCTATTTCCCCTTGTTTTTTCCTCCCCCCCCCCCCCCAATGTTCTGGTTAAACTTGGATTTAAACTTGGAGAGTGGTCAGTTTGGATGAGCTATTGCCAGCAGGAGAGTGAGTTTGTGTGTGTGTGTGTGTGTCCCCGGGGAAAAAAGGGGGGGGTGAGAGAGCCTGGATTTGTGCTGGAAATGGCCCACCTTGATTATCATGCACATTGTAGGGAGAGTGGTCACTTTGGATGAGCTATTACCAGCAGGAGAGTGAGTTTGTGTGTGGGGGGGTGGAGGGTGAGAAAACCTGGATTTGTGCTGGAAATAGCCCAACTTGATGATCACTTTAGATAAGCTATTACCAGCAGGACAGTGGGGTGGGAGGAGGTATTGTTTCATGATCTCTGTGTGTATATAATGTCTGCTGCAGTTTCCACGGTATGCATCCAATGAAGTGAGCTGTAGCTCACGAAAGCTCATGCTCAAATAAATTGGTTAATCTCTAAGGTGCCACAAGTACTCCTTTTCTTTTTATCTTCTATTGCTGTAGTCTATGTTTATACTACCAGGTTACAATGGCATAGCTATACTGCTGTAGTGCAAACATGGCCTAAGGCCTGGTCTATACCGAAAACCTAAGTTGACCTAGCTATGTTGCTCAGGGCCGTGAAAAATTCACACCCTCGAGAGATGTAGTTAGGCCAAACTAAGCCCCAGTTTAAACGCCATTGGATTGATGGAAGAATTCTTCTATCGATCCAGCTTAGCTACCACCTCTCGGGGGTGGATTAACTACAGCAATGGAAACCTCCCCCCCCCACCCCCCCTTCTGTTGCTATAGCAATTGTTTACGCTATGGTGCTAGGGCAGCAGACCTGCAGCTTCATAGCTGTGCCGCTGTAGCATCTGTAGTGTAGATGTAGCCTAAGTCTTTTATTTAAGAAGCTGACAAAGCAACGGGTATTTCTGAGGTTGTGTTGATTACCATTCTGTTTTCATATCACCTTTTCCAGAGAATAGAACAACCCCTTCTGCGAAGTGTTACTCAACCACTGAGGTGGGGCAGAACTGCATGCCACCATTATATGATGTGAACAACTGAGTAAGAATGGATGAGACATAAAACAGAGGTACTGACGACTTGTGTTCACTGGATTCGTTGCCTTTCCTGTAAGTAAGAGTGAACGGTGTTAACCCCAGTGTCTTGCCCAGATAAGACTAATAGCATTCTGCTGACCTAAATTTCTCCTGTAGCTTTGACCGGTTCTGTTCCCGCCCTTGACCCCCACCCCCCGTCTTTCCTATTCTAAATTGCTGTGGAGTGTTGGGATGTTCTAACTGTTTAAGCCACTGGTGCAATCCACCAAAGAGGTAGCAGCAGTTTAGCCCTATTCTCCCCATTACCAATCTTCCTATACCACGGTCCCCTGTGCCAGGGCTCTGTGCAATCCCATCCTTCCTTCTCCTCTCCATTCATGGCTCTAGCCTAAGCCTGAACATCTATATACGGCAATTTTATAGCCCTGTGAGCCTAGCACAGGCTTGCTGCTGGTGTTTGACTGCAGTGTACACTGAAGCAAAAATTTGCGCCTTTCTAAGGGGGAGACAAAGCCTGAGAGTATCAGTACTCTTGTTCTGAGAGCGAGCATGGCGTTCAGTTAACCTTCTCAGGCTGTGGGGCACTTATGCAGCTGGCTGTCACTTGCTGCTGTACAATAGTAAAGGCTGCATCAGTGTGTTGAGTTTTATAAAAGCATGTTTGTTTGCATGTAGCTTGAATGTAAAGATGAACTTTGTGCTGAAACTTGCACAGGAACATTCCTTTCTGCCTCTCCTTCAGTGCACCCAACAGGAGTTCATGTTTAATGTGTGGCTGCTTAATAGAGAGCAAACTTCTTCCCTTTTCTTTTCTGGGTGTGTGTGGTGGTCTAACTGAACTTGAAATTTTCCATGCCATTTTATTCTTAGTCCATAATGTAGCCTACATCCAGTGTTAATTTTGTAGTGTAGGGGAGGAGGATGGCTTTTTTAGTTTTGTCTCTTGTTAATTAGCCATCACTGCCTACCCTTCTCAACAATATTATTACATATTTGAGAACTAGAGCCTAACAGGAAAACTCGGGTATTAAATCTGTAATGCTGCTAGGTTTATTTCATGCTGTTATATTTAGTTAATGTTAGAGGGTTGAGAAACTAATTACCTTTAATTTAGGCAATATATTTCTAGTTATAAGTGGATGAGTTAAGAGTGAAATGAAAGTCATAACTAAGAACATCACTGTGCTTGTTGGTTTGCATCTTAACTAGAGATGGTTGAAAAATGGTATTTCTGTCCTGCAGGAGATTGAGACTTTGAAATTCCCGAAGTGGGACAAAAAGTTAATCTCTGATTTCTTCCCCCAACAAATGAAATATTCTGAAAAATTTAGTTTTAACCTTTATTGTTTTGAGAAGATCAAAACATTCTTATAAATTATATACATATTTCAGTAATTTCCAGGTATGAATTTTGAAATCATATGTTCCTGCAGAACATTTTGATTCTGTTTGGAAATGGCATTTTCCAACTGAAAACTGCTGTCACAACTTTTTCAGCCCGCTCTAATTGTAACACTATGAATGCATGTGTTTTTGTATATTTACAGGTTATCCCAAGTTTTTCAAACACTTGAGCTGTCTCAGCACTGTTGACAAAGCTGAGATGGCTGTAAACTCAGTAAGTAGTTAAATATTCAATTTTGTTTTCTGTGGGTAGCAGCCTATTGAGTAATGAATTAATAGTCAGGTCCATTAAAAGTGGACATAGGTATGCATGATTTTATTTTTTTAAGAAGTTTCTTGACTTTAGTTTCCTATTCTATAAAATGGGGAAAATACTTGCCTGTATCACAGGGTATTGTGGGGATGAATGAACTAATTCTTCAAGTCTCTGATATCACAGTGATGGATGTAGTTTATGAATCTAGCACTCTGCCATCAACTAATTTGTTCTATAGTGTATTTGGTAAAAGTAATGAAGTCTTATCAGATCTCACTACAGCACTCCGCTAATTAGCATTGAAGCGATGCTGTCAACTGGAAAATCAAATTTATTGCTGAAAAATTTGCACCGAACGTAGTAACTACCCCCTAAATTATTACAGCTGAAATAAGTTATCAGAAAAAAATATGCAATTTTTCCAGTTTGTTTGTTTGTTCTTTTTTCTTTTATTTTTCACTGTTTTTTCAATAAAAGAGAAACTAAGTGTGCAGAAGAGATTCTTAAGGAAGCAACATTTTTTTTTCTTTCTAAAGAAATTTAAAATCTAAAACATATTTAGAAGGTGATGTGATCTATTGGAAACTAGTTTTGGTGGGGGTTTTTTTGCTGTTTTTTTTTTTTTTCTTTAAATTAATCCGTCAGTTGAATGTGTCTCTAAGTCTCTCACTCCACTTCTCAGGAGACTTTGTATATCTATTTTTGTGTGTGTGTGAGTGTAATGAATTTCTGAATGAGTGCAATGAGAATTGGTGGGCTTTTACTGTATTTACATAAGTGACAATGTTTTTTAGAAATGATTATATTGTTCTAACTTTGCAATATTAATGTTTTTTCCCACCTTCACCTCAATTTTGCTATTTAGGGGCTACCACCTTACTATGAAAATCATGGTTATCAGCCAGAAAACTTCTATATTTCCAGACAGCCTGTGGATGCTAACGTGTATCCACCATATTATCCTCCATCGGTGCCACATTATGTCCCAAGAGTTCCTGCTCATCAGTCAGCTCCCCCAGTAGTACAGCCAAAGCCGCCATCAGCAAAACTGTGCACGTCAAGTAAGATTTGTCTGGAGTTCTTTTTATGTAGACCGATCAAAACTTGTTTCCTTTCAAGCTCTTATGTTGAGGGACTATCCCAGGAGCACCTCTTTGTCCCTCAGGGTGCTAGGTAGCTGAACAAGTCAATTACTATTATACTTTTTTGTAAAAAAGTGTGAGGAGTTGAGTGGTTCTTTGAAGTGATGATGAGATGGAGAGACTCTAACATCTGAATTGCAGATTCACGCCTGCTTACTAGTGATTGAAAGCTGTCCATCTAAGGGCACGTCTTCACTAGCAACGTTAAAGCGCTGGTCATGGCAGCACTTTAACGTGGCTGTGTAGTCGTGGCATAGCACTGAGAGAGAGCTCTCCCAGCGCTATAAAAAACCCATCTCCACTGGGGAATAGCTCCCAGGGCTGGTGCACTGTCCACAGCGCTGCAACTTGCAGCGCTCAGGGGTGTGTGTTTTCATACCCCTGAGCGAGAAAGTTGCAGCACTGTAAAGTGCTAGTGAAGACAAGCCCTAATTTACTTGCAGGGAGATAGGGATGGAGGCTAGCCTAGTAAAATAATTTGTTTGCAAACCTAACTCTTCTTTTTCTCCCTTTTTAATTGCAGAAGTTAAGAAAACTCTATGCATCGTTTTATCCGTTGCAATAATACTATCGGTTTCCATAATTGCAGCTATGCTTATCTGGTATTTTGGTAAGGATGTGTTTGTGTTGATAGAAATTTTTTATTCAAAGCTAAAATGTCTTGAGTTTTTCCATTTCCCAACGTAAGTGTGTCATCTTCCAGAGGGTGGTAAATTAGAGCAGTAAACTCTTGTTATCGATCTCTTTTCTGAATGCAACTTATTTTAATATCTAAAAGCTTAATTATTTGCCATAACCAGTATCGCTGTTGCTGTTGTCCTTTCCTTTAACTTCAAATATATTTACATTTGATAAGTGTCCTTGACTCAGCAGCAACCTCTTATTCATCTGAATTCTCTGAGATCCCACAAACTGTTTAGCAACAGTTGGTCTAGGACAAGCTTTTGTACAACTATTTTAGTAATGTGATATCTAGGTATAACTGTGCCTCAGTGGGTCACAACTGAGGATGCCAAATTCAGGACGAACTGCTGAGAAATAGGGCAAATCCTATAGGGGATTAGCCACCAGTCTTGGGGTGTATCAAACCAGCAACAAAAGTAAACTTCTGTTTCACCACACTGGCTAACAAGAAGTCATAAAAATAGTTTCCTTGGGCATTCCAGTTCTTTTGTCACCACCAAAAACACTGGATTCAGAGATGAGTGGTTCTTTACAGCCAGTCTCATCAAAGAAAGGGTTCTTCTGATCTCAAAGGACCAGCCACACACCCAGGTCAATATACAACTTAGATCTTACCCAAAAATCACGCTGATGCCAATCCTTTAGTATCTAAAATCTAAAGTTTTATTCATAAAAAAGAAAGAAAGAAAGGTGAGAGTTAAAATTGGTTAGAGGAATCAAATACATACAACAATTGCAAAGTTCTTGGTTCAGGCTTGTAGCAGTGATGGCATAAACTGCTGGCTTGATAAGTCTTTGGTTGCTTCCAAATCATTGGAAGGTCCTCAGTGCCTTGGTTAGAATGCTCCCATTAGTATAAGTTCATAGTCCAGAGGGTTGAACAGGATAGAGGCAAAATGGGCTTTTTATAGCTTCTGCCATGTGGAGGGAATTCCAGTGTTCTCACTGTGGAAAATTACAGCAACAAGATGGAGTTTGGAGTCACATGGGCAAGTAACATGTCCATGCATTTCGACTAGTCACACCAGGAAATTCCATTAAGTGTAGATAAGTGTAAGTCTCCCATGGTCCACTGTCAGTTAAATGTTCTTTTGATTGGCCACTCAATTTGAATAGTCCCTCCAAGATGTGCTGGCTAGCTACCTTGTGGCGTTACCCCAGGAGCAAACATTTGAAATCCAGATATAGAGCCAATACTCAATAGCTTCAAATACAAAAATGATACATGCATACAAATAGCAGAATTATAGTCAGCGAGTCATAACCTTTCCACAAACACCTCACTTGACAACCTTGTACAAAATTTATTGCAAATTTATGACAGTGGTTACAACAATGATCTATATGGTCATATTTTAATCAGATAACGTCACACTAGGATTAAGAGTGCAGTTTACCCCAGAGCAAAGGGCATTTATAAGGTCTAAGTGACATTGGGCTTTGCGTGAGCCCTGTGTAGTGGGGTGAATTTAACCTAAGAGACTACTGATATGCACAAGGGCAGCCCATCCATATAGGTGAACTAGGCGGTTGCCTAGGGTGCCAAGTTAAATGGGGCACCAAATTTGAGGGAAAAAATCAAATTTAAAAAAAAAAAAGATGAAGGGAAAAAAATACAAATAAAATAACGAAGATGTCATTATTTCAATTCTTGTGTGCATATGGAGGGAATATGAATGATAATTTCTCTACACTTCTGAGAATTTATTAATGTCAAATCTTTTGTTTACTGCAAAAATAATATTTTAGCGAATATATATATATATATATATATATATATATATTTTCAATTTGCAACATAGGGTCAAGATGACCCACTCCACAATTTTGATAAGCAATAACTCAGCCACAATGAAACGCATCCTCCAGCAGCAAGAGCTGCAATGCTAGTGACACCTAACTCGAATATACATCAAGGTCACATAGCTGGAGATTCATGTAGAGTGGAGATATCACCAATTGATACGTGTCAAACGGTCATTTTAACACATGTCGCTGGTAGATGGTTAAGAATTGAGTGAATACTGTGGAAAATTGTGTTTCTTGGTGCCAAAGAATAAAGAATAATGTCTTTCAGCATTATAAATCCATTATTAAACCTTAGTGTTATTATCGGGCTCTATAATTATGAACTTTTTCTTTGTTATAACTGGTTCACATGTAATAAATAAGGTCCATAAAAGAAAAGTAACAGCGTTAACGCTTAATAGACTATGAAAGTGATGACGTCACACTCCAAGTGGGTAACCGTGAGGAAGGGGATTAGTTTCCAAACAATCGATGTTGGGTTATAATGTCAAAAAAGATCATTTTGTTTCCATGTAAATGCTGTAACACTCACTCACCTATTAAAACAGTTAGTATGTTACTAATCATTGGACCTTGCAGCAATCCCAACATGTCTTTTCCCTGCTTAAATGTGGTTTAGATCGCCAACCATGTGGTGGGTCAGCCATCCTTAATGCTATAATACTTGCAGTCAGGAACACAGTTAGTACGTAACATGCCCCATGGCAGAAAGAGGAAAAAGAAAACGCTCAAAAACTGAGTATCGTAAATGAAAGGCTGAGAAGGAAAAGGACCAAGCAAAACAGCAGGGATCCTTCCTGAAATATCTTCTCTTTTAATCCAAATAAAGATGGAAGCAGTTCACAGCATCCAGATGAAGGAATTTTACTTGGAGAGGAGGATAGCATGGAAGCAGTTTGGAAACCCAAGATGATGGAAACTTACTTCTAGATGAAGGCAGCTCACAGCATCAGACTGATATGGAAGTGGAGAAAATGTATTTACCTTCAGAGAAACATGCAGAATTTGAAGTAAATGAAGTAGAAAGAAGAAAGGATGAGGAAGTTACAAACAAGTTACAGTAAGGGGACCCAGCTTCATAGCCCAGATGTGATGACAGTATGCGGCAACTTCTCGTGGAACATGGACCCAAAAAAGTTCACGAATTTTCCTTTCCTAAGGATGGAAATAAAAGAAAATTCTCTGCTCAGCATTACAAGAGGAAACTCATTAATGGGGAAGAAATTCATCGAAACTGGTTACAATATTCAGTGTCGAAGGACTCTGTTTTGCTTTTGCTGCAAGTTGTTTAGAAATCAAGCAATTGGTACATCACTTACTGAAAATGGTTCAAAGGACTGGAAAAACATCTCTTCAATTCTCTCTTCACATGAAAGAAGTACAGAACATTTGGAATGTTTTCAAAATTGGAAAGAATTTGAATTATGATTGAAAAAAGGAAAAACTATCGAAGAAAATTTACGTGTGATCGAGGAAAGAAGAATACTGGCAACAAATATTAGAGCGTCTGTTTGCTTTAGTGAGAGTTCTTGGTGGGCAAAATTTAGCATTCTGCGGCCGCGGTAGAAGTGAAAAATTTATATACTCCAGGTAATGGAAACTTTTTAAAAAATTTGTTGAATACCTCGCTTTGTTTGATTCAGTCATGAAGGACCATCTATGTAAAATAACTGATCATGAAACACAGGTTCATTACTTAGGAAAAAATATGCAGAATGAACTGATTCAAATCCTAGCAAATGCCATTAAAAAGAACATTGTAGAAGCTGCCCATTCTGCAAAATACTTTTCAATAATACTGGACTGTACACCAGATGTGACTCATGTTGAACAAATGACGATCATTCGTTTTGTGGATATGGAAAAGTCTGCAGATGAAGATAATGTCGGCGTGCTCATAAAGGAACATTTTTTGCGTTTCGTACCACTGAAGGAGACGACTGGAGCATTTATGACTGAAACTATTCTACAAGAGCTTGAAACAGTGTAATTATCTGTTGAAAACTTACATGGCCAAGGCTATGATAATGGGAGTAATAGGAAGGGTAAAGACTTGGCGTGCAAAGGAGAATGATGGAAATCAATCCTAGGGCCTTTTTCGTTCCTTGCAATGCACATTCCCTGAATTTGGTTGTCAATGATGCTGTTAGGAGGCAAGCAGTTTCTTTCACCCAGTGCAACATGTTTGTGTTTTTTCTCAGGCTCAACACGCCATTGGGAGATTCTGACTCACCATGTGAATTCTCTAACTGTGAAACCACTTTGTCAGACAAGATGGGAGAGTTGCATTGATGCTTTGACGCCTCTTCGCTATGAACTTGGAAACATTTATGAAGCCCGAATTGAAATTTCTGATACTACCTTTACTGGGTCATCTGGCAATAAGGCACGTTCAGATGCAGAAGCTCTTGCAAATGGCCTTTCCAAGTTCAAATTTGTGACTTCACTCATTTTGTGGTATAAATTCCTTTTCAGGATTAACCTCACTAGTAAGCAGCTTCAGGAAAAGAACTTGAACATACGTTCTGCTATTCAAAAACTTCAGCAAACTAAAAATATTCTGGAGGAATTCAGAAGTGATGAAGGGTTCAAAAGAACACTGGTAGAGTCTCTTGAGCTTGGTGAAGAAATAGACTTTCTGACAGAATTTGAACCAGAGCCAGTTCGCATTCGGCAAAAGAAACAGCAGTTTTTGTATGACTGACAAAACACACCCATTCAGAACCCAAAACAAAGGTTCAAAGTGAATTTCTACTTTTCAGTCCTTGATACTGCTATTCACTTGGTTGATGAAAGATTTCAACAGATGCAGCAGCTAGAGTCCATACTTGGCTTTCTATATGATATCCACAGCTTTCAAAAGAAAACAGAAAAACAGATAAGAGAATTTTGTATAAAACTGGAGTCTGCATGGACTCATGAAAATTCAAAAGACATTGATGCTACAGATTTGTGTAGTGAGCTTCAGGCTTTTTCAAGACAACTTAAGAAACGTTCCACTCGTGAAGAAGTACGGAAGTTTGTTTGTGAAAGTAAACTCTCAGACAGTTTTCCAAATATTTTTATAGCTCTATGCATTCTTTTAACTTTGCCAGTTTCCGTAGCTAGTGGGGAACGTAGCTTCTCAAAGTTAAAATTGATAAAAACATATCTGCGTTCAACAATGGTGCAAGAGAGATTTGTTAGACTTGCCACAATGTCAATAGAGCATGAAATAACTGGAAAACTGGATCTAAAAGGACTCGTGACTGAATTTTCAAAACTTAAAGAAAGGAAAAGTAATGTTTTAAGAGCACAGAGTTTTTTATTTGAAGTGTTTTGTAAATACAGGTTAAAGTTCATTGAGGAGTTTTCTTATTTCTTTCTACATTGGATGTGGTGGTAATGGCAGTTAAAGCAGGATAACGTAATGGACGATTTCAGATTTGTAGTAATAAAAATTATAATTAACATTTTTAATGCATTTTTATTTGAAATTGGACTGAAATATCATCTAACTGTCTTGTACAAATTTATTCTGAAAATTTTGTGTCTTTTTATCAGATCTCAGAAACATTGGTTGGATGGACGGACAAACCGAATAATTAAGCCTCTGTTTATTTAAAAAAAAAAGCTTAAAAATATTAGAAGGAAAAAAGGGGCAAAATGTTTCCCAGTTTACCAAAAACCTCAGCCTAGATCTGCCCTTGGGGTTTGGGGGCACCGATTGCATGGTTCACCTAGGGCACCAGTTGCTGGCAGCTAGTCTAGGGCCGCTCCTGGATATGCAGTCTCTGGAGTGAGGTTTTAAGTTATACAGCTTCCCCCTAACTGCAACCGTGAAGGGAAGAAAGGAAGGATCAGGTATGGTAGACATATTAGGCCTGACTAATTTTTCACAAGTGCTGCATAGAACTGATTGGAGCACTTTATTTCCATGAAATATGCTGTTTTGTCAAAGCTGAAATGTTTTGTGGAGATGTATTGGTTTTCACTAAACTTTTGAAGAGAAGGATTTCGGGTCTGGGGCAGAGGTAGACAGTTGGAGGTGCAGACACACCGAACACAACTTCCTGTGTCAAATGTGAACGCATTTCCTTAAACTGTCTGCAAATGGAATAGACCTCCTCTGGACCACTCTGCTGCTGAACACCAGCAGCTCCCACTTACTTCAGGTGGAGTCAGGAGAACTCATTAGCTCTTTAAAAAATATAAAATAAAATCAGACCCTCTATTCCATCTCCTAATATTAGGGCTGGTTCAAATAGTTTAATTGAAGCAGTTTTTCAGTGAAGAAACTACTTTTCCACTAAAACACAAATGTTCATTTTAGTAAAAATTTTCTGGTGGGAAGAACTGAAAATCTTGTAGTTTTCTGGGGCTTTTTGCCCTCTCTTCTTTTTCTTCCCCACACCTTTTTCGTGAGTGAGTGTGTGTGTGAGATGGTGATAGTGAAAGGAACAGGTGAAGAAGAGTGAGGGGGAGAATTCAAAAAAGAGAATATTTCAACTCTCAAACTGGAAGACCAAGGAATTCTGGGGTTGGGTGTAAGGGAGGGAAAAACACTGACCCCCTCCACCCAAAGTTTGAAGTTTTTCATAGAGGAAAATATAACACTTTTGGACCAGTTTTAATGAACATATACAAAAAATTGCAGAATGACCCATTCAGTACAGAGTGGATTTTGCTTGATATTGAATTCACTTCCTCCTCACAAGAAGAAACTTTTCCTCATTTTTATAGTGATGATTTGAAATGGAATAAGCTACTTAATTGGCATCCTAACAGAAATCTGGCTCCCAAGCAGGCTGTTAAGTATATATGTATAGTTTCCTTAAATTTAGTCAAACACCTGTTGCTGGGCTCAAAACAGGGGCACCTGGGTAAAACTTAATGGCTTGCATTATTCAGGAGGTCAGTCTAGATGGTTTAATAGTCCCTTCTGGCCTTAAACTCTATGAAAATTTATAATTGAGAACACTTCCAAAATGGGGAATGCCTGCTTAGATATTAATACCTATTTTAATATCCACCGCATGCATTAATCACACCAGTTACAGAATGCTGAATCTCTGAAAAGCAAGTTATTTTAAAAAGAGGTTCATGTATTCCTCTCATCTAATGGTCTGCTGCCCTTATAAAGTGAACAGTGTATCCCAGCAGGTCTGTCTTTGAGGTTTAAATTTATTTTTCAATATATTTTACAACCTTTGATTGTATGGGAAAAAATAGTGTTTTAAAAAAAAAATCCTGTCCTGTTTAAAAATGGTATATATCTAGTGGTGGCAGTTAGTCTATATTAATTTCTTGCCTTTTTCATTTATAAATTAATCTTCAGTGCCAGCTGTGAGCTTAATGGTGCTAGTTTAGTTCACGGTTATCACCATCAGGTTTAACTAGCTAATAAACAAAAATTTCCTTGACAGTTACCTCTGGCAACAGGTGCAATAGAATAGAAGAATATACATTCTTCCATTTTACCAGCCCTCTTGTCCATAATTGTTTTGTATGTGCTTTCCCCAAATTGTACAAACAATCAAAAGTTCTTTCAACATATGCCTTGATTAAATTGATATTCTCCTAGAAAACTCAGCAGAAATCATAACAATTTGTGGCTCACTCTTACCTTAAGGATCCTTTTTAATGACCCCTCACCTATCACCTATCTCCTTTCCACTCTGATCCCCTTGCAGAGGCCAATAGCTGTTTTGGCTCATCAATAGTGTGTGGATCTTCAGGAACATGTGTGTCACCATCTCAGTGGTGCGATGGAGTGGTCCACTGTTCCAATGGTGAAGATGAAAACCGATGTGGTAAGTATTTCAAGTATGCAGAGGTAAAATTGTTCTTGGAAACCTCTTGGTGACTTCTCCTTCCTTAGTCCTCATTTACATTAGAAAGTGGCACTAGCTTAGTTTAAGGTGTGACTTTAACTGATTTAGTTAAACCAGTTCAAACCCCTGTATGGACAGTTGTCTTTTGGTTTTAGAGTGGCTTAATATCAGTTAGCTTAAGTCCATTGCTAATGGAGTTGCTGGACTAAAATAACTCATACTTAAACCAAATCAAGAATGTCCTCCACAGGATTTTGTGCCAGATCAGTTTAAAATTCGCACCTTAAATTAAACTGGTGCAACTTCCTAATATAGGGTATGTCTACACTACGAAATTAGGTCGAATTTATAGAAGTCGGTTTTGTAGAAAGCGTTTTTATACAGTTGATTGTGTGTGTCCCCGCACAAATGCTCTAAGTGCATGTAGTCAGCGGAGTGTGTCCACAGTACTGAGGCAACTGTCGACTTCCAGAGTGTTGCACTGTGGGTAGCTATCCCACAGTTCCCGCAGTCTCTGCCGACCATTTGAATTCTGGGTAGAAATCCCAGTGCCTGATGGGGCTAAAACATTGTCGCGGGTGGTTCTGGGTACATATCGTCAGGCCCCCCTTCCCTCCCTCCTTCCGTGAAAGCAAGGGCAGACAATCGTTTTGTGCCTTTTTTCTTGAGTTACCTGTGCAGACGCCATACCACGGCAAGCATGGAGCCCGCTTGTCTGTATGTCTCCTGGGTGCTGGCAGACGTGGTACTGCATTGCTACACAGCAGCAGTTTATTGCCTTTTGGCAGCAGACAGTGCAGTATGACTGGTAGCCGTCGTCGACGTAGTCCTGGGTCCTCTTTCAACCGACCTCGATGAGGTCAGAGGCGCCTGGGCAAACATGGGAGTGACTCAGCCAGGTAATTTCCCTTTTAAGTTTCGTCTCATGGCGATTCAGTCCTACCGGCAGTGCACTGTCTTTTAATCGGCAGCCAGCAGAAGATGATGGCCAGCAGTCATACTGCACCGTCTTCTGCCAAGCACCCTGGAGGTGACAATGGCTAGCGGTCGTACTGCACAGTCTGCTGCCAGCAAGATGTATAAAGATAGGTGAAGTGGATCAAAACCAGAAATAGACCAGATTTGTTTTGTATTCATTTTCTCCTCCCTCCCTCCGTGAAATCAACGGCCTGCTAAACCCAGTTTTGAGTTCTATCCTTGAGGTTTTGAGTTCTATCCTTGAGGGGGCCATTCTGTTTCTCGCAAAGCCACCCCCTTTGTTGATTTTAATTCCCTGTAAGCCAACCCTGGAAGCCATGTCGTCAGTCGCCCCCCCTCCATCAGGGCAACGGCAGACAATCGTTCTGCGCCTTTTTTCTGTGCAGATGCCATACCACAGCAAGCATGGAGCCTGCTCAGATCACTTTGGCAATTAGGAGCACGTTAAACACCACACGCATTATCCAGCAGTATATGCAGCACCAGAACCTGGCAAAGCGAAACCGGGCAAGTAGGCAATGTCAGCGCGGTGACGAGAGTGATGAGGACATGGACACAGACTTCTTTCAAAGCACGGGCCCTGGCAATGTGGGCATCATGGTGCTAATGGATCAGGTTCATGCGGTGGAACGCCGATTCTGGGCTTGGGAAACAAGCACAGACAGGTGGGACCGCATAGTGTTGCAGGTCTGGGACGATTCCCAGCGGCTTCGAAACTTTCGCATGCGTAAGGGCACTTTCATGGAACTTTGACTTGCTTTCTCCTGCTCTGAGGCGCAAGAATACCAAGATGAAAGCAGCCCTCACAGTTGAGAAGCTAGTGGCGATAGCCCTGTGGAAGCTTGCAATGCCAGACAGCTGCTGGTCAGTCGGGAATCAATTTGGAGTGGGCAAATCTACTGTGGAGGCTGCTGTGATGCAAGTAGCCAACGCAATCAAAGATCTGCTGATATCAAGGACAGTGAGTCTGGAAAATGTGCAGGTCATAGTGGATGGCTTTGCTGCAATGGGATTCTCTAACTGTGGTGGGGCCATACACTAAAGCCATATCCCTATCTTGGCACTGGAGCACCAAGCCGGCGAGTACATAAACCGCAAGGGGTACTTTTCAATAGTGCTGCAAGCACTGGTGGGTCACAAGGGACGTTTCACCAACATCAGCGTGGGATGGCTGGGAAAGGTACATGACGCTTGCATCTTCAGGAACTCTGGTCTGTTTCAAAAGCTGCAGGAAGGGACTTTATTCCCAGACCAGAAAATAACCATTGGGGATGTTGAAATGCCTATAGTTATCCTTGGGGACCCAGCCTACCCCTTAATGCCATGGCTCATGAAGCCATACACAGGCAGCCTGGACAGTAGTCAGGAGCTGTTCAACTACAGGCTGAGCAAGTGCAGAATGGTGGTAGAATGTGCATTTGGACGTTTAGAAGTGCGCTGGCGCAGTTTACTGACTCGGTTAGACCTCAGCGAAACCAATATTTGCAGTGTTATTACTGCTTGCTGTGCACTCCACAATATCTGTGAGAGTAAGGGGGAGACGTTTATGGTGGGGTGGGAGGTTGAGGCAAATCGCCTGGCTGCTGGCTACGCACAGCCAGACACCAGGGCAGTTAGAGCACAGGAGGGCGCGGTGCACGTCAGAGAAGCTTGGAAAACCAGTTTCATGACTGGCCAGGCTATGGTGTGAAAGTTCTGTTCGTTTCTCCTTGATATAATCCCCTGCCCCTTGGTTCATTCTACTTCCCTGTAAGCTAACCACCCTCCCCTCCTCCCTTCGATCACCGCTTGCAGAGGCAATAAAGTCATTGTTGCTTCATGTTCATGCATTCTTTATTAATTCATCACACAAATAGGGGGATAACTACTAAGGTAGCTCAGGAGGGGTGGAGGAGGAGAGAAGCACCAGGAGGGGTGGTGGAGGAGGGAAGGACGAGGCCACACAGCACTTTAAAAGTTTAAAACTTTAAAACTTATTGCATGTCAGCCTTCTGTTGCTTGGGCAATCCTCTGGGGTGGGGTGGCTGGAGGCCCCCCACCGCGTTCTTGGGCGTCTGGGTGAGGAGGCTATGGAACTTGGGGAGGAGGGCGGTTGGTTACACAGGGGCTGTGGCTGCGATCTGTGCTCCTGCTGCCTTTCCTGCAGCTCAACCATATGCTGGAGCATATTAGTTTGATCCTCCAGCAGCCTCAGCATTGAATCCTGTCTCCTCTCATCACGCTGTCACCACCTTTCAGCTTCAGCCCTCTCTCCAGCCTACCACCTCTCCTCCCGGTCATTTTGTGCTTTCCTGCCTCTGACATTGTCTGCCTCCATGCATTCGTCTGTGCTCTGTCAGTGTGGGAGGACAGCATGAGCTCAGAGAACATTTCATCGTGAGTGTGTTGTTTTCGCCTTCTAATCTTCGCTAGCCTCTGGGAAGGAGAAGATCCTGTGATCCTTGAAACACATGCAGCTGGTGGAGAATAAAAATTAAGGGACAGTGGTATTTAAAGACACATTTTACAGAGCAATGGGTACACTCTTTCACGGTAAACCTTGCTGTTAACATTACATACATAGCACACGTGCTTTCGTTACAAGGTCGCATTTTGCATCCCCCCAGCACGTGGCTAGCCCCTCTCCCTCCCCGTGGCTAACAGGGGGGAACGTTTCTGTTCAGCTACAGGCAAATAGCCCAGCAGGAACGGGCACCTCTGAATGTCCCCTGAAGAAAAGCACCCTATTTCAACCAGGTGACCATGAATGATATCTCACTCTCCTGAGGATAACACAGAGAGATAAAGAATGGATGTTTGAACGCCAGCAAACATACACTGCAATGCTTTGTTCTACAATGATTCCCGAGTATGTGCTACTGGCCTGGAGTGGTAAAGTGTCCTACCATGGTGGATGGAATAAGGCTGCCCTCCCCAGAAACCTTTTGCAAAGGCTTTGGGAGTACATCCAGGAGAACCGCGAATGCCAGGGCAAATTAATCATTAAACATGCTTGCTTTTAAACCGTGTATAGTATTTTAAAAGGTACACTCACCAGAGGTACCTTCTCCACCTGGCGGGTCCGGGAGGTAGCCTGGGTGGGTTCGGGGGGTACTGGCTTCAGGTCTAGGGTGAGAAACAGTTCCTGGCTGTCGGAAAAACCGGTTTCTCCGCTTGCTTGCTGTGAGCTATCTACAACCTCATCATCATCATCTTCCTCATCCCCAAAACCTGCTTCTGTGTTGCCTCCATCTCCATTGAAGGAGTCAAACAGCATGGCTGGGGTAGTGGTGGCTGAACCCCCTAAAATGGCATGCAGCTCATCATAGAAGCAGCATGTTTTGGGCTCTGACCCGGAGCGGCCGTTCGCCTCTCTGGTTTTCTGGTAGGCTTGCCTCAGCTCCTTAAGTTTCACACGGCACTGCTTCGGGTCCCTGTCATGGCCTCTGTCCTTCATTTCCTGGGAGATTTTGACAAATGTTTTGGCATTTTGAAAACTGGAACGTAGTTCTGATAAGCCCGGATTCCTCTCCCCATTCAGTGATCAGATCCCGTACCTCCCGTTCGGTCCATGCTGGAGCTCTTTTGCCCTTCTGGGACTCCATCATGGTCACCTCTGCTGATGAGCTCTGCATGGTCACTTGCGGCTTGCCACGCTGGCCAAAGAGGAAATTGACATTCAAAAGTTCGCGGGCCTTTTCCTGTCTACCTGGCCAGTGCATCTGAGTTGAGAGTTCTGTCCAGAGCGGTCACAATGGAGCAGTCTGGGATAGTTCCCGGAGGCCAATACCGTCTAATTGTGTCCACAGTACCCCAAATTCGACCCAGCAAGGCCGATTTCAGCGCTAATCCCCTTGTCGGGGGTGGAGTAAGGAAATCGATTGTAAGAGCCCTTTAAGTTGAGAAAAAGGGCTTCGTCGTGTGGACGGGTGCAGAGTTAAATCGATTTAACGCTGCTAAATTTGACCTCAACTCCTAGTGTAGACCAAGGCATAGACAAGGCCCTAGAAATGTCTGCATTACCTATTGTGTAGCTGTTTTCTTACAACAATCTCGGGGGTGGTGGTGATACTATCTGCTTGAGTTCAATGACCTGGCTTGGCTCACTTCTTATTAAACTTCCTTTTCCACCAGCTCTGGATAAATTCATGGAGGTTAAGTCCATTAATGGCTATTAGCCAGGATGGGTAAGGAATGGTGTCCCTAGCCTCTGTTTGTCAGAGGGTGGAGATGGATGGCAGGAGAGAGCTCACTTGATCATTACCTGTTAGGTTCACTCTCTCTGGGGCACCTAGCATTGGCCACTGTTGGCAGACAGGATACTGGGCTGGATGGACCTTTGGTCTGACCCAGTATGGCCATTCTTATGTTCTTATGCCTTCCCCGTGGAAAAAATCCACCTGTCTCATATTAGTGTGTGCCAATCTAACAAAAGCAAAACAAATCTGGAAGCTTACTACTGCCACCAAAAAGCTTCACCTTCCAAAGAATGCTTTACATAACTTTCAGCGTAGGAGGCTGTTTAACTGATTTGGTGATTTCTGCTGAAGAAATGGAGAGAGGGAGACTTTTGTGATGAGCTGGTTGTAGTCACTAATGTGTACCCTCAAAAGCCACATCCATCTTGTTTTTAATATCTGTTTTCTGCAATACATGACTTCCAGAAAATGGTCTTGAAGAGGACACACTGCTCCATTTTTTTTCTCCTGCAGATAGTAGCTCATCTTAATTAATTAGCCTCTTACAGTTTGTATGGCAACTTCCACCTTCTCTGTATATGTGTGTGTGTGTGTGTGTTATATATATCTTCTTACTATATGTTCCATTCTATGCATCCGATGAAGTGGTCTGTAGCCCACGAAAGCTTATGCTCTAATAAATTTGTTAGCCTCCAAGGTGCCACAAGTACTCCTGTTCTTCTTATTGCTCCATTTGATCCTGTCGTTAAAGCTGGGCAAGAAACAGTTTTCCTGTCCCATGAAAGTTTTTGAGATTTCAGAGAGAGACCTTTGAAACAGACACCCCTCAAACTCTTGAGAGAAACAACTAGCTATCCAGCCCAGAACAGTCCACTGGGAGGTAAGAGACCTGGGTTCAAGTCCCTGCTCCAATTTAGGCAGAGCAGGGATTTAAGCTAGAGTGCCTCGCATCCCAGTTAAGTACCCTAACTACTTAAGGTAGTGGTTATCGTCAGTCTCTTTCTGACCGGAGATTCCATCCTGGACTATTGAAACTGAACCTTTACTGGAAAAGTTTCAGTTTTAACTAATCAGAATTTTCTGACCAAAATTTTTTTTTTGTCAGTAATAATGATGATGACGATAATAATAAAAAACCCCCACACCAACGGCCCCCGCCTCCCTCCCAACTAGCGCTCTACCTATACCTGCTTTTGGAACTCTGCGATTCTGACCTATTCTGCATAGTACTGACACTTAGCTGATGATTTTTCCTGATTTTTTGGTTGTATAATTGGGTCTCTTTACAGTAGTATAGCTTATTCCAACCATTATCTTGCTCTTGAACTTTTCATATTGAACTCTTTTTTTCTGTCTTCCCTCTGTGACACACTCTTTCTTCAAATCAGAAACATAAGAGGGCTAGATGGTATAGGGCAAGCTCTTCCATGTTAAAATCTTTGCTTTGTGATCTTCTATACTAGTACAGAAAAGGAGTACTTGTGGGCACTTAGAGACTAACCAATTTATTTGAGCATAAGCTTTCATGAGCTACAGCTCACTTCATCGGATGCATACTGTGGAAAATACAGAAGATGTTCTTATACATACGAACCATGAAAAAATGGGTGTTTACCACTACAAAAGGTTTTCTCTCCTCTCACCCCACTCTTCTGCTGGTAATAGCTTATCTAAAGTGATCACTCTCCTTACAATGTGTATGATAATCAAGTTGGGCCATTTCCAGCACAAATCCAGGGTTTAATAAGAACGTCTGAGGAACGGGGGGGGATAGGGGGGTAGTAGGAAAAAACAAGGGGAAATAGGTTACCTTGCATAATGACTTAGCCACTCCTAGTCTCTATTCAAGCCTAAGTTAATTGTATCCAATTTGCAAATGAATTCCAATTCAACAGTCTCTCGCTGGAGTCTGGTTTTGAAGTTTTTCTGTTGTAATATAGCAACTTTCATGACTGTAATTGCGTGACCAGAGAGATTGAAGTGTTCTCCGACTGGTTTATGAATGTTATAATTCTTGACATCTGATTTGTGTCCATTTATTCTTTTACGTAGAGACTGTCCAGTTTGACCAATGTACATGGCAGAGGGGCATTGCTGGCACATGATGGCATATATCACATTGGTAGATGTGCAGGTGAACAAGCCTCTGATAGTGTGGCTGATGTTATTAGGCCCTGTGATGGTGTCTCCTGAATAGATATGTGGGCACAGTTGGCAACGGGCTTTGTTGCAAGGATAGGTTCCTGGGTTAGTGGTTCTATTGTGTGGTTGCTGGTGAGTATTCGCTTCAGGTTGGGGGGCTGTCTATAGGCAAGGACTGGCCTGTCTCCCAAGATTTGTGAGAGTGTTGGGTCATCCTTCAGGATAGGTTGTAGATCCTTAATAATGCATTGGAGGAGTTTTAGTTGGGGGCTGAAGGTGACGGCTAGTGGCGTTCTGTTAGTTTCTTTGTTAGGCCTGTCCTGTAGTAGGTGACTTCTGGAAACACTTCTGGCTCTATCAATCTGTTTCTTCACTTCCGCAAGTGGGTATTGTAGTTGTAAGAATGCTTGATAGAGATCTTGTAGGTGTTTGTCTCTGTCTGAGGGGTTGGAGCAAATGCGGTTGTATCGCAGAGCTTGGCTGTAGACAATGGATCATGTGGTGTGGTCAGGGTGACAGCTGGAGGCATGTAGGTAGGAATAGCTGTAAGTAGGTTTCTGGTATAGGGTGGTGTTTATGTGACCATCGTTTATTAGCACTGTAGTGTCCGGGAAGTGGATCTCTTGTGTGGACTGGACCATGGGTACCCTCATGGCCCCACAGTATGCCAACATTTTTATGGCTGACTTAGAACAAAGCTCCTCAGCTCTTGTCCCCTAACGCCCCTACTCTACTTGCGCTATATTGATGACATCTTCATCATCTGGACCCATGGAAAAGAAGCCCTTGAGGAATTCCACCATGATTTCAACAATTTCCATCCCACCATCAACCTCAGCCTGGTCCAGCCTGGCAGAGGGGCATTGCTGGCATATGATCGCATATATCACATTGGTAGATGTGCAGGTGAACGAGCCTCTGATAGTGTGGCTGATGTTATTAGGCCCTGTGATCAGGTTGGGGGGCTGTCTGTAGGCAAGAACTGGCCTGTCTTCCAAGATTTGTCAAACTGGACAGTCTCTACGTAAAAGAGTAAATGGACACAAATCAGATATCAAGAATTATAACATTCATAAACCAGTCGGAGAACACTTCAATCTCTCTGGTCACGCGATTACAGACATGAAAGTTGCGATATTACAACAGAAAACTTCAAAACCAGACTCCAGCGAGAGACTGTTGAATTGGAATTCATTTGCAAATTGGATACAATTAACTTAGGCTTGAATAGAGACTGGGAGTGGCTAAGTCATTATGCAAGGTAACCTATTTCCCCTTGTTTCCCCCTCCCCATCCCGTTCCTCAGACGTTCTTGTTAAACCCTGGATTTGTGCTGGAAATGGCTCACCTTGATTATCATACACATTGTAAGGAGAGTGATCACTTTAGATAAGCTATTACCAGCAAGAGAGTGGGGTGGGGGGAGAGAAAACCTTTTGTAGTGGTAAACACCCATTTTTTCATGGTTTGTATGTATAAGAACATCTTCTGTATTTTCCACAGTATGCATCCAATGAAGTGAGCTGTAGCTCATGAAAGCTTATGCTCAAATAAATTGGTTAGTCTAAGGTGCCACAAGTACTCCTTTTCTTTTTGCGAATAAAGACTGACACGGCTGTTACTCTGAAACCTATACTAGTACAGGACATAATTTTCTTATCTTTTCATCAGCTTATCTGTTATTGCCATTCACTCAAGCTGAGGGTGGAGCATGGGAAAGAGTTGTGCTAATTGTAAAATGTTCATACAATAAGAAATGAACATTTAAAATGTAAATACGACTTAAGGTAGTAACTCATGGCTTTAGAAAAAAGAATTAAAATGACGTGTCAAAATCCAGTACATGAAAACTTCATAAAAAGTGTGTCAAAATATCGCATCAACTGGAAGTTTTTCTTTAAAAGGAAAAAGTAATTTCAGGTGCTACACCTGTCTGTAGAGCCCCTGACAACTTTTGTGGTGTCACAATCCCATTTTTTATTTATAGGTTTTAAAAAATGAATATACAGGAAAAAACCTGAAACTATCTATCTACAAAGTGCTGTCAAATGAAGAAGTAAACTGAAACGTTATCCTTCTATCTTTTCTTTAATCTTGCAGCTCTAGTACTCTTGCTTGTAAGAGTAGTAGGTGCAAAATACTTTTTAGGAATATGAAAATCATAGGCTTTGAACAGGATGGTCAGCAATATTGTCTTCTTTGATTGCAGTTAGACTCTATGGACCAAATTTTATCCTGGAGGTCTATTCATCTGTCAGCAAATCCTGGTATCCAGTATGTCAAGATGACTGGAATAATAACTATGGAAAGATAGCTTGTAAAGACATGGGATATAATGTGTAAGTATAACGATCTAATCGTGAAAGATGTACAGCCAACACAACTGTTTCATTAAATTTTTCAAAGAATGGACACCTGCAGCAAAAAAATCAGTTACTGCTTTTTCTGTTGCTAGTCTAATTTTCATGAAAACAGTCCAGTTAAAACAAAAACAAGTAGGCGATGCTGAATCAAAGTGACATTTCTTGAAAACCATGTAATGCATATGCCATATACAATAGTTGTGGGATGTGTTTGTGCATCAATACATGCATGCGCGCACACACCGTGCTTGCTTAGGAAACTCTTGGACTGATAGTGCTGTCTGAACTTAAAACCATATAGAAAAAACCTATTCATTGTGACCAGTATTACACAGACCACTCTGACCTTTGGAGGATACTAAAGATTTCATTGTGCTCTTTCACAAGAATGTTGACATTTAACCAGTTTCTGTACAAATTCCAACTACAGTAACTTCTTTTTATCTACCTGAAATCCTTTGTAGCTATAATTATCTATGTTGTTGCTGTTGGGAGTGAGGGGTGGGGGACGGAAAGACTCCCAAATGCAGATGGGCTGCTGTTGCTGCATTTCTATTCATGAGGTGGTTGGAGTGATTGATTTAGTCTGGTCAGAATTTGGCGATCTTCACCATGAAAAAATGTTAGATGAAAGCAAGGTCTTATTTGACTGTAAAAGTGGACATAGTGAATAGTTACTTAAAAACTAAAATTTAATTCTGCCATAGTACAGTGCCTTTGTGGTTCTTATGATATAGTATTCCGTAACATTGTGGTTCATGTTATAAGCTTTAGATTGGTGGAAAGTTTTACATTACTAAAAGGAACTTTCTGTTAGGATTTGAAATACCTTGAGTTTCTTACTAAATATTTTGTTTTATACAGAAAGTCTTATTACTATAGTCAAGGAATAACACATGAAAGAGGTTCTACAAACTTTATGAGGTTGAATACAAGTGCTGGGAACATAGATCTATACAAAAAACTGTATAACAGGTATTTATATTTCATATAAGCATTTTTTATATTTGTTTACTTTTAAGTATTGGAAGTAAGGTGGCTTCCACCATTACTGTGATGCAAACACCTCTGATGGGAATTATTAGAGCTGGACAAAATTTTTTACATAAAGTTTTTATTGGCAAAATATACAGATTTGGTGACGATTTAATATTTCATCAATTCATATTGATTTTTGCCAAATTGGTTTGGGTGGAGGGAAAAAACAAAGCAAAAAAATGCCAGTAAAATCAAAACATTTGTATGGGTGTTTTGTTTAGTTTTTTTGTTTTGAAATGACTTTCTTTCAAAATTTCCTTTAAAAAAAAAAATTACATGTTTAAAAAATGGTCAAAATTTAAATGCAACTGTTTGTTTGTTTCTGGTCAAACAAAATATTTAATTTGACCACAAACAAGTTTTTGACTTTTTTTCCAGACACGCTAGTGAACCAAGAAATCCATTATCCACCCTGCTCTACTTTATTTTTTTAAAATGGGGGGAGAGGGGGGAGAGAATTTCCTGTGGCTGATCACAATAACTGCTGTTCGTTATATTTAATCCACAACTTTTGAATAATTCCTGGCACTGTCTCGTTAAAGGTTATTTTTCAGGGCCCACTTAATAAAGCTTGATTTCTTGAGGACACTTGATTTTCCCTTCTTGCATTCAATTCTATTCTTTGCACGCCATCCAAAAGACTGTTCTGAGGAAAACTCATGATGTTAGTTACTATATGAACATTTGCGTTTAGAGTGGTAATAACCATAAAGTATTAAGACACACAGCATTATTTTGGTATCACTTTTTTAGAGTTGTATGAATATGCATGTAACAGAGTTAAAAGGACACCTTCAAGAGTGGCAGACCCCAAGTTAAACTACTTTATGAAACATACGTATGTTCTCATTTCAGTTCCCCAGTATGTGGGCAGGTGCATTTAGAAAATTCACCAATTCCCTCTCCTTTTTATTTTTTAAAATATTGCTGTATGAAGGACCGAGGGCCACCCTCCACCCCATGAGTAATAGGGACTGGTGTGATCAGACCTCTCTTCCAGTGCCCTATATCTTACTCTCTTCATTGTACTGATGTGCCTCAGAGTTCTATGTTTTTGCCGGTTACAATCAGAGCTGCTTGCTTCCCACTAATGCTGTTGCTGTGAATGGAGGAAACAGAAGTGAAAGTCGTGTGAGCACTGGCAGGGCAGTCAGAGAGAGAGAGAGAGTGAGTGAATGGGGGAAGGGGACAAGTGTGGCTGGATGGAGGGAACAGTGTATTGCTGTGGCTGGAGACTTGTCTCTGACTGCCATTTGCTAAGCACTATATGCACTATAAAGACTAACTGTATGCTGATTTATTTTAGTGACTATTGTGCGTCTGGAAAAGTGGTATCTCTGCGGTGCATAGGTAAGTGTTCTCTGTTTCTTTAGAAGAATATAACTTTTTCATTTGTCTGTGCTTCCGGTCATTGTCTAGAAATCAGCTGCGCAAGGGTTCTGTGTGTTGAAGCACATCTTATTCTGATGGGATAGGCGCCTTGGTTGTAGTTGAAGTGCAGAATCTGGGGGGAGGGGGGGCTAGCAGATTGGGGGAGAGTTAGGGGAGACAAGCACGATGTTGGATCCCAAATTTTCTTTGTCTAACTATATTGTTGCAGGCTTTATGAGATCCTTTGAATAATCTACCCAAGATTAAATTAATATAGAAATTGCCATATAAAAATCAGACCTGTAGGCCATTTAATCCAGAATTGTGTTTCACAGTGGCCGGTATCAAATGTTTTAGAGGCAAGTCCAAAAAATCCTGTAATGGGCAATTGAGGAATAACCTGCCCATAGTGTAAATTTTTTTATGAATCCCTGACAGTTAGTGAAACATTCGTCCTTTCTAGCTTCTTTTACTCCTACCTGTGGATGTTCTCCTTACCCATAGTAATATTTATTCTCTTTGGCTCAGAGGGGAGAAAAGGTCTCTCCTCAGTTCTGCTTGTGCCTAAGTGTAGTTTTCCCCTTACCTTTATGGGAAGGTCCCTTGTTCTAAATAAATAAGGGACATTTTGTTATATAGTTTTGCAAGGACAGTCTGCCATCCCGGCAAACATCTAAGGACAGATTCTTGTATCTGTAGTAATGATACTTCACATAACTGTTATGTCTTTTATATATTAACTCATAATACATATTTTATGATGGGATTGTCTGCAATAGAGGGGGCTGAACATAACCCAGGAGATCCCTTCCAGTCCTGTGTTATATTTATCCCTACAATTATACGTAGAATCCAGAATGATCAGAATACGATGATGTCTGGCTTTTCAGCCTATATCTATGAGTATGGGAGCTCTTCTTTTTCCCTTGTGCAGGGTCTAGTACAGGAACACTCGTATGTGTGACAGCATGGTACAAATTCATATAGTTATGCAGTTCTTCTAAGGCCGCCCCAATTGTCACCCTTCTGTGTCAGTCATTTACAAGTAATCATGCATCCACCTCCTCCACATACCTTCTCCAAGTTTGATGGGAAGAAAGGTGGAATGAAAAGTTAAGCTAGTCCCACGTCCTTCTGTTAGAGAAGTAACCTGGTGACTCCTCTCCATTTCTTCAGTAGTGAGATTTTTAAGGATGCAACTTGGAGACCAAGTACCTTGGGGGGAGGAGAAGGGGAAATCTCTGAAATGTTATGCATTCTAGTGGTAAGCAGAAAGCAACAGCTCATATAGACTTACATTCCAAAAAAAAAAAAAAACCCTCTGGGGGAAGAGGGTCAGTAATCCTATATACTGGGGGTATCCCTGATTTGGGTTTGTTTGTCTTCCACCTGAAATGCTCATAGTTAAAAGGACCCACACTTTCATTTCCCATCTAGAGGCCAGCATCTACCTGCAATAGTTCACACTGCAAGAGCAGTGTGAAGTGAGAATTGGGCATTTAGTATGGAATTTTGAACCCATGAGACTACTGATCCTGCCTAATTTAGACACTAATTTAGTTTAAATGGCAGACAATTAAAAAAGCTACCAAATAACACACCGAGAGTAAAGAAGCTATACGTATGTCATCTAGGTTGATACCAGTGTGAGTCTACATCCCCCTCTAGCAGATGGACCCCATAAGGAAGGTTACAGGTCTGCTCCTGCCTCTGACCCTCTAATTCAGGCAGCAGAGGCTTATACTTTTAGAGCCAAAGGTCCTGGATTCAATCTCTACAAAGACCCATCCAGAGGGTCATGACGCGTTTTTGTTGATAAACTGCATTTAAAATCTTCAGCCTCCAGAGTTCCTGTTCTCCACCTTGTTAACTGGTGGTGGTTTTTTAAATGGGAAAATCCCAGCATAACTTTTGAGTTATCATTATCCTGAGACGTGCAGCCAATAATAGTTGAAAACAATCTCTCTCCCACACACCCCATCTTTGTGTATTTTTTCAGAGTGTGGCTTATCCCGTAAAAATGTGAATCCTTCAGGCAGAATTGTGGGTGGAAGTGCTGCAAAGCTGAAGGAATGGCCATGGCAGGTCAGCCTTCAAGTCCAAGGCTCCCATGTATGTGGAGGCTCCATTATCACCCCTGAATGGATAGTGACAGCTGCTCACTGTGTAGAAGGGTAAGTCCTAAACTACTGCATTCTGTCAATTGGTTCCCCAAAGTGAGGGAATTCTGGTATTGCACAACAGACACGGTTGAGTGTAGATTTTTGGGATGTGGACATACTGACTTCAGGTTGTAGGGGAAGTCCAATCTAAGAGAACTCCTTCTGGATTTCAAACTGAATGGATCAATTTTCCCCCCTCATTTGCATGCACATCTTCACTGATTGCATGTGCACGTGGCGGGTGGGGAGAGACAATCTGGTTGTATGTTCTATGGTATTCTAACTTCGTACCATTTTAACACTATTAAAGGAAAATCACTTTGTCAGAGGGTAGTTTGAAAATTTGCTGTTTGCAATATGTGCTGTTATGTGCAATATATGCTGTTTGGGAATATTTTGAACAACACAAGTCCCAGTAGAGATCCTTGAGGGACCCTGCTGTTTACCTCTCCCCACCGTGAAAACTCACCATTTATTCCTACCCTTTGTTTCCTATCTTTTGTTTTAAATCACTTACTGATCCATGAGAGGACCTTCCCTCTTATCCCATGACTGCTTACTTTCCTGAAGAGCCTTTGGTATGGGACCTTTCTGAAAGTCCAAGTACACTGTATCTGCTGGATCATCCTTGTCCATGTTTGACACACTCAGACAATTCTGATAAATTGGTGAGGCATGATTTCTCTTTACAGAAGATGTGTTGACTCTTCCCCAACAATCATGTTCATCTGTGTCTGATAATTCTGTTTTTTACTATAGGTCCAACCAATTTGCCTGAGGCTAAAGCTGTGCTTACCAGACTGTAATTGCCAGGATCACCTCTGGAACCTTTTTTAAAAATCAGCATCACATTAGCTATCCACAGATAGCTGTCTGGTACAGAGGCTGATTTAAGTGATAGGTTACATATCTCAGTTATTCTGGATTTCTTCTTTGCATTCCTTCAGAACTCTTGGGTGCATACCTTCTGGTCCTGGTAATTTTTACTGTTTCATTTATCAATTTGTTGTTCCAAAATCTCCTCTATGGATATCTCTGTCTGGGTTTGTCTTTTAGGTTTGTCACCTAAAAAGAATGGCTCAGGTGTGGGAGTCTCCCTCACATCCTCTGCAGTGAAGACAGGTGCAAATAATTCATTTATCTTCTCTGCAATGGCCTTGTCTTCCTTGAGTGCTCTTTTAGCACTTCAGTTGGCGAATGGCCCCACCGGTTGTTTGGCAGGCTTCCTGCTTCTGATGTAATTAAAAAATTTTACTGTTAGTTTTTGTGTCTTTAGTTAGTTGCTCTTCCAATTCTTTTTTTGGCCTGCCTAATTATATGACTTGTCAGTTTGTTCCTTTCTATTTTCCTCAGTAGGATTTGACTTTCAATTTTTAAAGGATGTCTTTTTGTCTCTGCCTCTTTTACTTTGTTGATTTGCCATGGTGGTGTTTTTTTGATCCTTTTACTGTTTTTTATTTTTATTTAGGGTATACATATAGTTTAAGCCTCTATTATGGTGTTTTTAAAAAGTTTCCATGCAGCTTGTAGGCATTTCCCTCTTGTGACTGTTCCTTTTAATTTGCATTTAACTAGCCTTCTCATTTTTGTGTACTTCCCCTTTTGGAAATTAAATACTACTGTGGTGGGTTTCTTTGGAATTTCCCCCCCTACAAGGATGTTAAATTAACAACCATAATGTAATTCATTACCGAGCAGTTCAGCTGTATTCACCTCTTAGACCTGATCCTGTGCTCCACTTAGGACTAAATCAAAAATTGCGTCTACTTTTGTGGGTTCCAGGATTAGCTGCTCCAAGAAGCAGTCATTTAAGATGTCAAGAAACTTTATCTCTTTATCCTATCCTGAGGTGACATGTACCCAATCAACATGGGGATAATTGAAATCCCCCATTATTATTGGGTTTTCTGTTTTAGTAGTTTATCTCATTTCCCTGAGCATTTCACAATAACCATTACCATCCTAGTAAGGGGGTCGGTAGTATATTCCTACTGCTATACTCTACTCTTGTTCAAGCATGGAATTTCTATCTATAGAGATTCTGTGGTACAGTTTGATTCATTTAAGACTGGTACGATCTTTCATTCTATGCTTTTGTTTACATATAGTGTCACTCCCCCACCAATGCAACCTATCCTGTCATTCCTATATATTTTGTACCCTGTATTACTGTGCCCCTTTGATTATCATTGTTCCACCAAGTTTCTGGGATGCCCATTCTGTCAAAATCCTTACTTTAATGTCAGGCACTCAAGTTCACCCATCTTTGTATTTAGACTTCTTGCATTTTATATACAAGTACTTGTAAAATTTGTCAGTATTTGGTTATCTGCCTTCATGTGATGCAGTTAAATGAGACTCTCTTTCATTTTCTTTATCAGCTTCTATCCTCTCCTCTTTGCTAGAATATAGGGTATCTATCCCCTTTAATAAATCCTCCCCTATGGATGTGTCTGTCTGAACCTTGTGCTCCTTTGCACCTGTCAGCTTTCCCCCAGCCCTTAGTTTTAAAACTCCTCTATAGCCTTTTAAATTTCGCATGCCAGCAGTCTGGTTCTATATTGGTTTAGGTGGAGCCCATCCCTTCTGTATAGGCTCTGCCTTTCCCAAAAGGTCCCTCACTTTCTACTAACCCTAAATTCCTCCTCTGAACACCATCATCTCATCCATGCACTGACACCCTGCAGATCTGCCTGTATAACTGGTCCTGCATGTGGAACTGGAAGCATTTCAGAGAATGCTACCATGGAGGTCCTGGACTTTAATCTCTTTCCTAGCAGCCTAAATTTGGCCTCCAGGACCTCTCGCCTATCCTTCCCTATGTCGTTGGTGCCTTCATGTATCACTGCCACCGGGTCCTCCTCAGCCTAGCACATAAGTTTATCTAGCTGTCTTGAGAGGTCCACAACCTTTGCTCCCAGCAGGCAATTTGCTCTGCAGTTCTCCTGGTCATCGTAAACCCAACCATCTGTATTTCTAATAATTGAATCCCACATTATTATTACCTGTCTCTCCCTAATAACTGGGGTTCCGTCCCCCAGAACTACATTTTGGTAGTTAGGCCCCCTTATGAATCCCATCGTGATCTGCTGTCTTCATGGTCAGTCACTGAAATGGCACCAAGACTTCAAAAATGTGACTGTCTCTTTCTTATATTGTATGTCTACATCTTCACATTGTGGGTAAAATGTGGAATGTCTGTGCCTGGATTTCTGTACTGTTTGTTTCTTCTCTCACTACCATCTCCATTATGAACACTGGCTTTCCCAGCTTCATTGCCACATATAGATGAAATGTATTAACACTCTTCTTGCTATTAAATTTGGCAACCGAAGAAGGATTGGGAACAACAGGTGATAGTTCAATGTGCGTGCTTACCCATTCACAGTAAAAAGTCAATGAGATCTGAAATCATTTGGCTGTTGCAGGAGAAAGAAGATGGGGCTTCTGCTTAATACAGAAGCATATAGTCTAACCTTATTTTACTCTCCAGACAGCTTTCTTCTCCATACTACTGGAGAGTGTATGCTGGGATTCTGACGCAAAAGGAAATGCGCGAGAGAAGTGGATCCAGGGTGCAGAACATAATTTCCCATCCAAATTATGATTCAGATTCTAAAGACAATGATGTTGCCCTGATGAAGTTACAGACACCGCTGAGTTTTACTGGTAGGTATTCTCTTGTTCTGTGCTAAAACCCAAAAGCTCGGCTGCAGAAATTGCCCACCCCCTTTTATTTATTTTTTAAATTGTGTCAGCCGTTAAAGAGGAAGGGCTTACTCTGCAGACACTTAAAAAACATGAGAAAAATACAAAGCATGGGAAGATATTTTAATAACGTGTAGTCAGCGAACCAGGACTGAACACTAAGCTGCTACAAAATAGAAACTCTGATAAATTGACACCCAATTAAAAAGTATGTTTTTCTCAGAGTCTGCAGGTATGGCAGGGATGTAATGTCAGCACTACCCTCTTCAAGTACACTTAAATGATCTGCCAACTCTACTGGAACCCGGGATTCTTAATGAATGAGAAATTAAATCCTTGCTGTATGTTGATGACCTGGTCATTCTATTAACTACCCATAGTGGCCTTCCAGAGAGTCTGTACGTGCAAGGAATATACGGCAACATATGGAACTTTGCACATCAAATGTGACGAGTGATCTTCTTATGAAAGAGGAGGTACATAAGGAAACACTCTCTAAATCCAGAGTGTGTGTACCACATAATCAATTCATCAGGGATTTTCAGACTAGCTATAACTCCTAGTGTCCTCTCCCTCAAAACAGCATACAGTTCTTCCACTATAAAGCACTTGAAAATGAACTACTAAAATCAAACAAACATAGTCCATTCCGGTGTACATAACTCCCAGGCCCTGCTACTAACTTCTGTACCTTGCCCTTAACTAAATAGTGCACAATGGATCAAGACCTAAAGCAGTTTCCAGGAAGAAGCAAAACTATTTCAGATCCTTGAAGAGCGTGCAAAACTGAGATGGGCATTTTTTTAAATGAAGCACAGTGGCCAAACTAGAAGTGAAAACTGGAAGACCAAGCATAGTGTGAACCCAGAGAGAGATGGCAGAGAGGATGCTCTCTGCTCCAGTGCCCCAAATTTTAAGGCATTCAAGAGACTTCTTCAAATTACCTGAAGTCCTAAGATTTTCTAACAAGATGCAATGAAGAAAAACAGTGTATAGCACTTGGAGAAATGGCAAAACTAGCATGAAGAAAACTCCCCCTTGCTGCTGGTGATAGGCAAGTGTGTGTGTTCACTAGGAATAGCATGAGCCCTATATGCTAAGGTGCAAACAAAGGTTTGCTTAACAAATATTCTACTGCTCGTATGCCTACTGTGCACAACCTATTTGGAATCTGTGGAAGAAGCAACATGCTAATTTCAATAGGACTTTGCATGGAAAGTACACAATGCTCATGTGAATTAAGCATTCTTGACCAATGTTTGCCCTCAGTCTGTGTCCTAGTGGATCAGTGTCTCGTCTCCATGTCTTCTTCCCTCTGGCCTCCCCGCAAAAAGAAACCCTCTCAAAACAGTTGGCATTAACTTGTTGATTAAATGTTACTTGAGTGATGGAGAGGGAACTAACCTCCCTCTGAATCCCCAGAGGCTGAAACTTTAGGTCAAGGCTTAGAAACATTTGGAAGCCTACACTCCTTTTACCCATCCTGTGCTTCTTGTGGATAAAGAGGTCTCAGTGTTCTCAGGCTGGTAGCTTTTATGACCACAATAATTGCTTAGATGCTAGGAAGCTAAATGGACAGGGGAGGAGCCTTTATATTTAAAAGCACTAGCGTGTACTTGGAGTCCCTAGTATTCAGTGTAGCATGGGTCTCCTCCTGGGTGGAAGACCCTCTAATAGAATTTGTTTTTTAAATTTATGTTCTCTCACTTAGGCTTGCTAATCACCAGTATATTCTTACTTCCCAGACACTGTAGCACCTGTTTGTTTGCCTAACCCTGGAATGATGTTCCAACCTAATCAACAGTGCTGGGTATCTGGATGGGGAGCAGAACACCAAGGGGGTGAGACTTCTGGTTCTAAAATACTGGGACATGTCTAGTTTTGTTCTACATTTGTACTAAACTAAAAAATGCTCTTCATCCGCGGTATGCTGATAACTTTCATGGGGTAGGAGACAATTTGAAAGATCCCTGCCAACTTGCTGTCACTCGCTCTGTCTTGTTGTCGTCTTTCTGAGGAAAAATGTCTGGTATTGTCAAGAAACTTGTCTCTCCACACCAGTCTGCAAAGCAGCTCAACTAAGTATGGGGTTAGAAATATTAGTGCAGGAAGGAGGGGGGGGGGAAGGAAACTAGGATCATCCTGGCAGTCTAGCAATCGAACAGTCTTCTGTATCTCTGCTAGCAGGGGCTCGAAACACTGTAGTGACCGTGTGCCCCACCCATGTGACAGAGTAGTGGGGTGCATTCTACAGCAGTTCCTTGTGTGTGTGGGGGGGGGGGAGGGAGGGGAGTGTGGATTTTTGTCTGGGAGTGGATGAGGGTGGTGTAGTGTAGTGTTTATATTCGCTAGAGGGAATATCCTCTGGCTCTTGATGCTCTCCTTGGGACAAGACAGGGTTGCAGTAAAGCTGCAGTGAGCGGGAAAAGCAGAGATTTCTCAGGCCATGGAGGAGGGTGGAGCCTGATTAGGGAAAGTGTCAAGTGCCTCCTGTAAGGTGCAGGGCACCCCAACTCCTAGTGAACTTGCAAAAAGTTGTGGGAGGGAGGTTCAACACCTTGTAGGTTCATTCTCTCCTATAGTTCTGCGGGTAACTGATCAACTTACAGTTGTGCTGGCAGTTTTTATGTTCTGGCATTTTAACATACTTGTTCAGGATAAAGTATTGTCATCTTCAAAAAGTGGTTTTTAATATGTGTTCTTTTTATAATCAAATGTCCCTGTTTATGCCAAGGCATTGCTGACTTGTTTTTGATCTTGTGAACCACTGAAAGCAACTTTGTAACTTCTACACATGACAATCTGAGACCTGTTCTAACTTCATTTTTGTGTGTGTGCATGTTTCAACTTTAGGTAAAAGTTCAGGTGTCTTGAATGCCGTAATGGTGCCTTTAATACAGCGTTCTAGATGTAATTCTGCCAGTTTCTATAATGGCTTAGTTTTGCCTACCATGATATGTGCTGGGTATCTGGAAGGAGGAAAGGATTCCTGCCAGGTAATAATCTGTGTTCATTTTAGCTCTTAAATATTAATTTTTGATTATGCTAATACTTGCTGGAGAGGGTATTTAAAATGCTAGTGACTATGACAGGTCTAGCTAAATAGACAAGTGACTGTCTTTGAAGCATTGCAGTCAGGCTTCTGGTTTTCATCATGCTGAGAGAACTGCTAGAAGTAGGGCTGCTATTTGGATTCTCCCATCCCAGTTCCTCAGTCTTTGATGAAGGTATCCACTTGTTGCTAAATTTGTCCCCTCATTTTCAAATGCAAATCTGTAACAATTTCATGAGAGCGCTGAAAATGCGTGACTTTTCACAAATTTAGCAACACTTTTCTCTTGCTTTTGAGAAGAGGGAAAACCAGTCACACTCAATCTTAATACACATCCAACAATATATGAATTCTTGCATTTTTGCTGGGTAAGCTGACTGTGTAGTACTGTAACTGAGGTAGCACTTGTTTTAAGATCATTTGCTTTTTAAACTGGGGTATGCCCTCCCGGGGTTGGGGATGGGGCACAACAAGGTTATCGGGGAGGCAAGGACCTGGCTGGTTAAGAATTGTCTTGTTTCTTCAAAACATCATTGATAAAATACGAATTTCTTCCAATAGCTGAGCCTCTGGCTCAGCTCCTGCTGCCAGGCTGAAATAACAAGGAGGAGGGAGGGGTGGAGTGAGAGGGCATGGCCTCTCCCTGTGCAGGAGGGGTGGGGTGGGGTGGGGTGGGTCGGGTTGGGTCATTGCAGCTCACTGGCCTCTCCAAAAGCTGATGTGTACACACCCCCTTGGGAGGTGGGTCCTCTCTGCCTGCATAGGCTCTTGCACATGCGTGCTGGGAATCATGCCAAGGCCAGAGGATCCTGCGGCCTGTTAATGATTCCGGCAGGTTCCAGAGGCAGGGACACAAGGAGAGCGCACAGCATGGCTGGCTGTGTCCTGCTGAGGCTGCCCGCCTGAAATAAGTCCTGGACAGGGGAGGCTTGTGGGCTGGGGAGCAGTGGGGTGGGGTACTGGACCCTAGGTGTTCATGGAATACATGGAATATGAATAGGTGTTCATAGAAAGAGGAGAGCATGCCTGGACATGAATCTCCACAGGGCATTGCAGCAAAAAAAGTTTGGGAACATCTGTTTTAGATGCACTGTGGAAGCAATACTCAGTGGGGTTTTTTATTGTTCCCTCTGGGACTTGGCCACAATGTTTGAATCTGTATTTATCAGCTCTTTCCAATGGGCAAGGTCACTAATAGCATGCTTGTGGGCTCGTATTTTTGTCCAGGGTGACAGTGGAGGTCCGTTAGTAACTGAGAAAAACTCAGTGTGGTGGCTAGTTGGTGACACAAGCTGGGGAACTGGCTGTGCCAGTCGCAGAAAACCTGGAGTTTATGGAAATATGACAATGTTCACTGACTGGATTTATAGAAATATGCAGGTAAAATATATATTCATGCTCTTTCTTCAACATTTTATACAGGCTTATAGAGTTTAGACCTTAAGGCCAGAAGGGACCATTGTGATCATCTAGCCTGACCTCCTGCGCACTGCAGGCCATAGAACCTCACCCACCCAGCCCTGTAATAGACCCCTACCTAACCTATGGCTGAGTTACTGAAGTCCTCAAATCATGATTTAAAGACTTTGAGTTAGAGAGAACTCACCATTTAGTATTCCAAATTCCCATTATTCATATTATGAAAAATAACATCACATTTTTAATGACCTTGAGAGCCATTATCTGGCTCTCATCATATCAAGTGATTGAGAAAACTGAGACATATGATACTCACCACTTTTTTTTTTTTTTTTTTTTTTTAAACAGGCAAATAGATGATCATGGTATCTGCCATTCGTGCTGAATCATTTTCAAGAACAATCCTAAATGGAACTAAGGCTTTCTTGGCTACCTTATTATGTACTTTTAAAAAGAATTTCTAGGTCCTTACAATTTTTTTACTACTTGCAAATAACCTGAAGTTTTGCACACTCAGTTCTGTGCTGGCTGCAGTGACTGATCTATTTAATGAAGTAGAAGACTCACAACAAGCACCTTTCTCATTATGATGTCTGGTGGCACAAAGTTGCTGTCAACTGGTAACTGACCTGTTCCTTTAGTTTTGTAGCTTCCGAGTTTATAGGGTTTTCCGTAATCACATTTGTAACTGAAATAATCACTGTTTCAATTACAAGCAGGGTGGTTTGACACTTGCTTTACTGGCATAATTTAATTTAAATGTAAGTAGTGGTGTAAATATGAATCTCTGGGGTCCTAGCTGGTGACTTAAAGAGGAAAACACATGGCAAATGTCAGTCTTGGCATTATAGGTGAAGGGAAGCTGTTTCGTGCATTGGAGAGTAGAGGCAAGGAGAGATGTCTTGGCATATATTCAGGTAGTTAAAAATCCTCAGGATCTTTACAGGTGCAGTAACAGCCAGGCTGATCTCTTTGGATTTACCCCAACATAAATAGGATCAGCATTTAGCTTGGTAATTGAAAATGTGCCATTGTTCTTCACGGTTGCCCTTCCTGGGTCCCACATCTATCATGCAGGAGAAATACGGTAACTACTGTTCTAAAGCTAGCCAGCACAGAACAGCTCTTCCGGCTTGTGGCAGGACACTGTGTACCAGTAGCATGCTCAGTTTTATGAGCGGGGAGCCGCTAACTGACTGTGAGAACACTCCTCTTTGAAATGCAAAGAACAAAGCTTTGCTGTGCAGCTGCCTGCCATGTAGTCGTTCTCTGTGATCGAAGTGTAGGTATGGAAGGCTTGGAAAGTGTTGAAATCAGAGATGCAAGAAAAAACACAACCAACCCCATTTCCACTTAAACACATGACTACCTCAGTTTTAAAGGAATCTGGCTTTTAATTCCATAGAAAGTTCTCTGTACATGTCCATGTAGCTGTTTTAGCAGGAGACCAATCACTTAAGCTTTTTTTGAAAAACAAAACAAAAAACAAAGCCAATAACCTTTCACATAAGTCTGATGATTTTAATGTTCTAGGAGAGGAAAAATAAAATGCTCTAATTCTGGATGTGTATGAAAAGAGACTGGTATGGCTCTGACAAATTGACCAAAAGTAATGACTTAGTATGTCTCTCTTGCTTTATGTGCTCTCCAATTCTAAGGGAGTGAAATGATCACGTTTGCTGTTACTTAATGGTACCTTAATTCCCAAAGCTTGAGTTGGAGAAATTTCTACTTCAGTTTTGGAACCACAATCTGTTATATATCAGAGTGCCACTTAATTAATATTTTAAAAATGGTTGTAAAGGCTAGAATGTTCATGGGGGGGATAAAGGCCATAATGAGTCACTTTTTATAGGAATGACAAATCTCTTTTGGGGAATGATGTTTTTTGTTTTTAAAATAGCAAGAAATTTTGTCTTGTTTTGGTATACATTAAGAAAACAAATGCAGTTGTCTTGCACACAAGTGGTACAACTAATAAATCTTTTACAAATCATTTCTCCTTGCAGTAATTTATTATGGCATTTCTACCTCCTTCAATCTTTTTGTCTGACTGAAAGTCTATAAAGCAGAGGTGGGGAAACTACGGTCCGTGAGCCACATGAAGGTCCACGGGACTGTCCTGCCCGGCCCCTGCGCTCCTGGCCCAGGAGGCTAGCCCCCGGCCCATCCCCCGCTGTTTCCCCTCCACTGCAGCCATGCTGCTGCGTGGGCAGCACTCTGGGTGGCGGGGCTGCGCGCTTCTGCAGGGCAGTGCGGCAGCGTGTCTGGCTCTGGCCAGGCAGCACAGCTGCCAGACATGCTGCTCTGAGTGGCATGGTAAGGGGGCTGGGGGGTTGGATATGGAGCAGGGGGTTCTGGGGGGCAGTTGGATGGGGTGGACGTTGTGGGGGCAACAAAGGGGGTTAGATAGGGGGTGGGGTCCCAGGGGGTGGTTAGGGGTGGGGGGTCAGGGGACAAGGAGCGGGGGGGGTTGGATGGGTCAGGGGTTCTGAGGGGGGCGGTCAGGGGGCAGGGGCCAGGTTGTTTGGGGAGGCACAGCCTTCCCTACCCAGCCCTCCATACAGTTTCACACCCTGCTGTGGCCCTCAGGCCAAAAAGTCTGCCCACCCCTGCTATAAAGCACCTTGAGAGCCTCAGAGATGAAGGATATCTTCTGATTTAAGCACAAGAAGGGGCACCAAAGGGAACTGTTTTTTTTTCTTCCCTCCAATCTTTCAGCAAGCTTCCTGGTAGTCCTTTAAACAAGTTACTTCGCTTGATTTTCAGAAGTGCTGAGTACCCCCACTGCCAAATAACTTCAGTGGGAAGGACAATTTTAGTGATACTGGATCAGTGGACTTACAAGTGGCAAGGAAGCTCATTTTAAAGGCAGTAAGGGCTGAGGGGAACTATGTATTTTGCTACTTTGATGGATAGAAGGTTGGATTTGAGTCAGTACTGGACCTATCTTTAGTTGTAACAGGCACATGCTGTGTTCCGATGATACTTGAAAGAAAAGTATTCACCAAATTCACTACTGAATGAAAGATAACTTGAAATTTAACCAGAGAAAACTTGTGTGTCCAAAAGTGTTACTTTCTTTTTTCTTTTTAAGATTACAAGCCCACATTACTGTTGACTGAATAGCAGCAGAGTAATGTACCTCTTTTTATAAATAGAAACTTCAGTTTCTGGAGCTGAGTAGGGCCAAGAAAGTTTCCACACCACACAGCTGTAGTGAACACTAAAGATAGGTCAGTCTATGCCCATTTGCCCCTCAGCTCTTCCATGGTGGCTAACAAACACAGGTCCACCTAAGCTATGTATACTTCTCTACCACCCCCTTGGGTAGGCCATTGAACCGTCTGATAGTGTCAAACTCAGTCGCTTTATTAAAACTCATATTGTACTTGTAGAGTTTCACAGAAGCATAATTACAGTACACACTCACAGAAACAACTCATTATTTATTGAGCCACATTAAGATTAGTTTATTTGCCAGTGATTGGGCCAGGACATCAGGTGTCAAACACATACACCGGATCCAGCATCTAACAACTTTATATCTTCATGCTACACTTGCAAAGTGACATTTACCTTTCTTTTTTTTAAATACTTCCAAAATGTTAAAATAGACTAACTAGTTTCTATGGCTAAAATAAAGCATGTGGAAGAACACAACCAAAAAAGTGAGTAAGAAAGCACACATTTAAAATATACTTACACTTTTGGTTCAGTCTCTGACTGCAATATGGTTTAATTCATTTGCCTACTGAAGGTTGTATGGTCTGTACCAGAGAGCTCATGTCCTCACTTGTTAAAATGAACATATGCAGAATGTTTCGCAGTAGCAACGTAATTACGGGGAAGCATAAGAAATTCATAATGCTATACACTAAACTAACTAAAACAAGACTTTCAAAATAAAATGGTTCACAGATGAACATGTGACACACACATAACTGATGATGTTAAAGCAGTTATGTGATTTAGCTAAATTTTGAATTAGTTCATTCGGTTTTTAAGGCCAATGTAGACAGATGCACAATTTCTAACGGGTTATACAAAGCTCTGCTATGGGTCTTTTCAGTACCAAGAACTGACATTTGAAACAGACCATTTCAAGCAGAGAGGCTACAGCACAGAAAATTTTATTAAGCAAAAGCGAGCTCGTGTCAGACGATCAATTCGTCCACTCAGAAACTGCCTCCGATCGGCAGTATCTTTCCGTTCCTGAAGAAAGAAGTTCATTTTTTCTTTTTCTTGTAAAAGTTGCAGTATTGAATTCTGTAATTTATCTCCAAAGTCCTGAAGGATGTAGAATTGGATGATCAGAGGAATCTGGCTGGAGAGACGTTTACCTGCACTCTGAAAACAGAAGATGATTGTAAAACATGACTATCAAAGAGAGGACATGGGAAGGGCTCTCTAGCGAAATTCAGTAAGAAGCTACAACATTCTGTGTCAAGTGATTGTTCCAGTGAGTATCTTCATGAATTAGTCTGGAAATGGTTCAGACAGCTGAGATGCAACTTTTCCTTTTTAATCCCATTTGAAAACATGAATGAGATGCGCTGCTAATTTCAACCACAAGTTTTCTCAGGAGCATAAACAAAAGACAGACCAGTCTACTTGTATAACCTAATTAATGCTGACATTTGCCAGCAGAGCGCCATCCTGTAAATAATCAGGACCACATTAAGTGAGGAGTTACTGTAAGTGTTAACATTGTTATGTTGCTGCTCAATTAGGGAACATGCTCGTTTAAAGCTGCGCAATGCTCCCTTATAATGTTTGGCAGCCGCCTGCTTTGTCCACTGCTTGCAGAAAGAGCAGCCCTGTGGAGCTAGCAGGTGGGGGCTTAGAACCAGGGTGGCCCGGCAGCCCCCCGATCAGCTCCCCTAAGTTCCCTGTGCGGCAGCCACCCAGCAGGCTGTCAATTGCTGGGCAGTTCAGCTGTCCCTCTCCCCACTGTCATGTGCTGCTCCTGCCCTCTGCCTGGGAGCCTCCTGCTTGCTCTGCGCAGATGCGGGGGAAGAGGGGTGCTGATGTCAGCGTGTCCCCCTCCCCCCACTCTTGCCCCCCATCTCCACAGAGCATGGTGGGACACGCAGGGCTAAGGATGGAGGGAGCTTGTTGGCAGCAGCTGCCTCAACTTGCTGATCTATTTAAAAAGGCAATGTACTTACAGTGGGGTCAGCATACTTAAAGGGGCAATGTGCGTGTCTCTGTCTCTCTCTGCCATGCTGTCTCCCCTCCCTCCATTCGTGCTGCCTTGTAGAGTGTGTGGCTACATTAACAACAACGTATTAACCCTTGAGGGCTCAGCTGAGTGCTAGATTATCATTAAGCAGTAAGGCATTCCCTGGGAAATATCCCACCCTCTGACTCCACCACCTCAACCAAGCTTCACAAACATCACTGCTGTGTAAGTATTCAATTGTTTGCTCAAAACTTAGTGTGTGCGTGCGCGCACACAGACAGACACACACAAAATTTCCCTGGAACCTAAACTCCCCTTATTTACATTCGTTTTTATGAGGAAATTGGATTCACTTAACATCGTTTCACTTAAAGTAGCATTTTCCAGGAGCATAACTACAGCATTAAGGAAGGAGTTACTGTACTGTTGTAAAGAAAACTCCTTCCACAGAAGCCATAGCGTGTGGCTGACCTGCTTTCACAAACTGCTGAGGGTAGTAATGGAGTGGCCCATAAGTAATTATGTAGGACAAAACCTAAGGTACTATCACAAACTTCAAATCGTAGGATTCTAGCTTGAATCCCTTTAACATAATCAACCCGTCTGGCACAAGCAGTCTAATGGGCACAGCCCAAAGTCAACTCCCAGTATCTAGAACTTATTTGTACTAGTCCGGTGAAGTACAGGGCTGCCTTAGTACTATGCCCGAGCCTTAAAGGATGTCAACCTGGGGCTTTGATCACTTATTTAGAACCATGAAAGCTAACTGCTTTTAACTGAGCTAGTTCCCTCTTAATCTAACAAATCAGAGTACAACAGAGGCAGCAATTTATAATTCAGACAAGCTATTCAAGATGACTGACTGGCAGAGGAAACTTAAATGAAGGACACTTGTGAGAAATCTCAGTCTGTTGCCCAACATTTCTCCTTTCAAATCATCAAGCTAAGGGTAAAATTTTCCAAGAGTATTTAGGTGTTTAAATGCCATTATCAGAAGTGACAAACCGGAAAATTGATGGTATTTAACTGTATAGGGTCTCTTGAAAATGTTGCTGATTTAGGGTTGCCAACTTTTTACTTGCACAAAACTGAACATCTTTGCCCCGCCCCTCCTCTAAGGCCCCACCCCTGCTCACTCCATCCCCCTCCCTCTGTCTCTCTCTCATATCACACTCACTCACTTGTTCATTTTCACCGGGCTGACCCAGGGGGTTGGGATGCGGGAGGGGGGTGAGGGCTCCAACTAGGGGTGCGGGCTCTGGTGGGGCTGGGAATGAGGGGTTTGGGGTGCCGGAGGGTGCTCTGGGCTGGGATTGAGGGGTTCAGAGGGTGGGAGGGGGATCAGAGCTCTGGCATGGGAGGGGGTGTAGGCTCTGGGCAGCTCCCGAAAGCAGCAGCACATCCTCCCACTGGCTCCTACGCAGAAGTGCGGCCAGGCATTCTGCACTCTCCCCCTCCGCAGGCACTGCCCCTGCAGCTCCCACTGGCCGCAGTTCCTGGCCAATGGGAACTGCAGAGCTGGCATTTGGGGCTGAGGCAGCATGCGGAGCCCCCTGGCTGTCTCTAAGCCCAGGCGCCAGAGGAGGAACATGCTGCTGCCTTCCGAGAGGTATGAGGAGCCTGCCTTAGCCCAACTGTGCCACCGACTGGACTTTTAATGGCCCGGTCAGCAGTGCTGACCAGGGCTTCCAGGGTTCCTTTTCGACCAGGCATTCCAGTTGAAAACTGGACACCTGCCAACCCTATGCTGAGTGTCTAACGACTCTTTGCTGCAGATTCACTGTTCTAGTGTTATTTAACCTATTGCCAAGTGAAGCACTTTAGGATACTGTAAATATGTGAGAGATGATGTAAAAGCAAGTTCTCTTTTGCCTTTTCACCCTACCTCATAACATCTACTGCTAACATAACCACTTCTAATAACAGGAGCTACATGTAGTTTCCATTTTGTTCTCGGGGAGAGAACAGAGGTCTGGTTGTTCAATAACTGCCTCTAGTATTATGAATGCACTGATTTATATCTACACATGCATCCATTTTTGTGCCATTGCACTTGAATTTTGCCAGTGGTGCATCGCTGCAAACCAGGCTATGGCTCACCTAAAAATCAGGACCTTAATTTCTGAGTTGATGTAGGGCTAAATTCAGAGGTGACATAAATTTTGTCATTAAGTTGAAAGTTGGTGTAATTTGAAAACTGCTTTTCCTGCCATAAGTCTACCTTAATCAAAAGGCAGATGCAGGATGAAGCAGGCCTCTGCTACGCACTCAGCCTGTGACTACACCTACATAATGATTCTGTACATTGATACTGTACATCCCTCTCACATCACTTCTGAATTTGCCCACAGACATTTTGCATCGGCTGTTCAAAATTCCAGTTAATGCAAAAAGATGTTATCCATGGACATAGGGGGTGGGTGTGTGTGTGGGGGGGTGTTATTTGCCTTATAAATGGTACCAGTGTTTTCTTAAACTGAAAACAAAGAGATACATTTTTCCTATTGTCTGCAAAGGGAACAGTATTAGTACATGCTGAAGGATTTGGAATGGAATAAAAACTGCTGTGGTAGGAATCCATAAACTCACACTGAAGTATGCCGCCAGGTGATAAGCCATTTCCTTAATGGCAGAGTGGTTCTGGGTTGGAACAGTTCCCAAATTTAAAACTGAGGAGGCTGGTTTCAGACTGTTGGCTGCTTCCTTTGGTGTTTCTTCCCTGATAACTTTTAAGTCTTGGCTGTAAACATTGTCCTGGCAGTATACAAGCTGCTCCATTTTAAACTGGACTCGGATCATTGTTTCGGCTTCCTGTGCTTGTTTGTCTCTAATGTCTTCAATTTTGTCCTGTAAAGGGATTGGGAGGGGGAAAGAAAACTATCAAAAACCACTAAACAACAGGTGGTACAGGTGAGTACAGGACCAACCCTATGTGACATGTAACATGGTGTCACAGGGTTCTCAAGAGCACAGGGTAAGTGCTAGATTCTGGTTCTGTGTCAACGGGCAGGAGAGGCCACATTGTTCTGTGTCCCCATTACACTTGTGGACAGGGACAGCCAAAAGCCTGCTGCTTGAGTTCCCTAAGTATGAACAAAGGAGGAGTGTTTGTGCTGCCAACTATGTGAGAAACCCCCCCAGGGATGGGTTTGTAGGGCAGGGGAAATATTGAAGGGATCATTCGATATGTTCTGATACAGCATGTAGTGATTGCTGATGCTGTATTCAGCCTCAACATATTCATTAAGGTGATATGTCTGCAGTAATCTCCACAAGTTGCTTTAAGGTGCAACTATCAAACAAGTGACTGATCAAGAGTGAAGGAGTAACATGTAGTTCTATATACAATATATTATGCCATTCAGTACTGCTGGTCTTATATCAGGTTACATAAAGTCATAGCAGTGTCAGACTGGAAAGGACCTCAAGAAGTCATCTAGTCCAGTCCCCTGCACTCAAGGCAGGACTACATAATAAATAGACTATTTCTGACAGGTGTTTGTGTAATCTGTTCCAAAAACCTCAGATGACAGAGATTCCGTAGCTTCCCTCAATAATTTGTTCCAGAGCTTAATTACCCTGACGTTTAGGAAGTTTTTCCTAATGTCCAACCTAAACCTCCCTTGCTGCAATTTAAGCCCATTGCTTCTTGTCCTATCCTCGGAGAAAAGGAGAACAATTTTTCATCTTTGCCCTTGTAACAACCTTTTATGTACTTGAAAACTTATGATGTCCCCCTCAGTCTTCTCTTCTCCAAACTAAACAAACCCAATTTTAATCAATCTTTCCTCATAGGTCATGATTTCCAGATCTTTAATAATTTTTTTTTTTTGTTCTCTGAGCAGCATGTGGTGTCTCACCTTAGCAGCTCTGTTAAGATTGTGAAAATCCTTAAAATGATCTTTGGCAACTTCTGTAAAAGATTCTCGGACAAGTTCTGAGGGGAGAAAAGAGACATAAAATAAAGGTAGCAGTATAAACGTGATTACTGAACTACTGGTAGTACAAGATTTGTGAAAACTGGTCATTCACCATATCTATCCAAATGACACTACCATGGAGCTATGCTTCATCAATGCAATTTTTAATCCCTCCTTGTCATACCTATGATGATCTTTCATTTTACTATCGTGGTCGATTTCTAACTTTTTCAGAAATACTGTCCATTTAGGAATTTGTACTTTCAAAGTCTGAAGGCCAGGCATAGAGGATTGAGGTCTAGAGATCTGTCTCAGGGCTTGAAACTGGTTTGATTCAGATTCATTTTCCCCTGCCTGAAGCAGCCAAGATATGGCTCTTGCCATGTCAACCAAAATATAGACAAACCAATATTTCCGAAACTTAGGGTAAGCTTAGTAAATGAAACTCACCATTTACTTTCTTCAGTATCTCAATAGCTGGTTCTTCTAGTACCATGATTTGCTGTCTTACAATAGTCTCAAATGCCTTGTAACTGACAAACCCTGGGAGCTCTCTTCCACGATACTGTTTTTCAAATCTCCACACTTCATGTTGTATAGTTTTCCTAACTATAACATTAAAACAACAGCAATATTTAAATACACTAAATCCAATGAATTTATTAAAAAAAAATGGATTTAAAAGAAGTTTAGTTCTTTTTTCTAAAGACACTTGACTGGAAGAACTAATACACAGCTGGTCATTTAAGCAAGCTGATTTCCGTAGAACTGAGCCAAAATATGCTGTTACGACTTTTAAGAATGAACCATTTCAGTCATTGAGATGACCATATAAACTAATGGAAACAGGAGTTGCTGTACTGGATCAGACTACTGGCCCATGTTCCTATCAGTCTGATATCTTTTCAGCAGCTGAAAAATTGCCACAAATAAGGAAGTCTATTCTAGACCTTCGAGTAAACTCAGACCATCACTAAAACATTGTCAACACTGGAGAAATTTACCTTCCTAAATAATATTTGTTCCCCTTTTTGATACGTGTACCTCGCATCCACAAGTACAAGTGCTTTAAAAGGTGTCCAATATTGATTGATCATGAGTGGATTTAGAAATTGTAGCATAATCATAGAATCACAGAATATCAGTATTCAGGAAGTCACCTAGTCCAACCCCCTGCTCAAAGCAGGACCAATCCCCAACTAAATCATCCCAGCCAGGGCTTTGTCAAGCCTGACCTTAAAAACTTCAAAGGAAGGAGATTCCACCACCTCCCTAGGTAACCCATTTCAGTGCTTCACCACCCTCCTAGTGAAAAAGTTTATCCTAATATCCAACCTAAACCTCCCCCACTGCAACTTGAGACCATTACTCCTCGTTCTGTCATCAGCTACCACTGAGAACAGTCTAGAGCCATCCTCTTTGGAACCCCCTTTCAGGTAGTTGAAAGCAGCTATCAAATCCCCCCTCATTCTTCTCTTCCGCAGACTAAACAATACCAGTTCCCTCAGCCTCTCCTCATAAGTCATGTGTTCCAGTCCCCTAATCATTTTTGTTGCCCTCCGCTAGACGTTTTCCAATTTTTCAACATCCTTCTTGTAGTGTGGGGCCCAAAACTAAACACGGTACTCCAGATGAGGCCTCATCAATGTCAAATAGAGGGGAACGATCTTGTCCCTCGATCTGCTGGCAATGCCCCTACTTATACATCCCAAAATGCCATTGGCCTTCTTGGCAACAAGGGCACACTGTTGACTCATATCCAGCTTCTCGTCCACTGTAACCCCTAGGTCCTTTTCTGCAGAATTGCTGCCGAGCCATTCGGTCTGTAGTCTGTAGCAGTGCATGGATTCTTCCGTCCTAAGTGCAGGACTCTGCACTTGTCCTTGCTGAACCTCATCAGATTTCTTTTGGCCCAATCCTCTAATTTGTCTAGGGCCCTCTGTATCCTATTCCTGCCCTCCAGCGTATCTACCTCTCCTCCCAGTTTAGTGTCACCTGCAAACTTGCTGAGAGTGCAATCCACACCATCCTTCAGATCATTTATGAAGATATTGAACAAAACCGACCCGAGGACCGACCCTTGGGGCATTCCACTTGATACTGGCTGCCAACTAGACATAGAGCCATTGATCACTACCCGTTGAGCCTGACAATCTAGCCAGCTTCCTATCCACCATAATCATGCATGACTGGAGGCAGGAGGTGCACAGGTAACGCCTCATTCAATTCTTAAGGACCATTCCTCCTACCAGTTCCAAGAGATTCCAGAAACTTATGGGCTTATCATTAAACACTGCAAAAAAATTGCGGGGTAGTTTGTATCAAATAGACTGGAATTTAAGAGGCAAAACTTTAGAAGGAAGGTACGTAGGGGTCTGTAAAATTAATCAGTCAACGAGAAAAACATCTTCCAATGTACTTTACAATAGGAAGCCCAAAAACCTGAATAATTTAGTAAAAGTATTGTCTGTTCCATTTATCTGCTATTTTTAATATGTATTCCAGCTCTCTGATGATTTGCAACTAGAACTGTTAGATGAACTTTCCTTGCAATGACTTCAGCTATATAAACAATAATACCTGCCTCATACACGGTTCTTTTCATGGGTAGATCTCAAATTACTTTCTAAAGGAAGGCAGAAGTATCATTATTTCCATTTTACTTGCAATGCAAGTGCACCTCCTATTGACACACACAAGCGCATCAACTGATTCTCAAAGGGAATAAGTAACATCATAAAGAAACTGGTTTTTAGTTGTTTTCTCCTCTTCTATTTTTCCTGTGTTTTTGTTCACCTGCTATCTCCTCTTTCCACCTGTTTTCCTACTTTTTTCACTCACCTAATACCTTTAGATTAACTGGCTCTGTGTATGCGGTGGGACAGGACAGATTAGACGATAGAATACACCTGTGTCTACATGTAGTTGCCCCTCAGTGACATGTACCCCTGCACACATTTTGGAACTATTCCTTTAGAATTACATTTAGCGATGTTTATGTAGACATGCACGGACAGCTAAAAACGTGTAGCAATAGGGGCCGCTCGACAGAAATGTGTGCTACGTGTTGACCAAGACGAAGAATTAATAGGTATTCGGAGAGTTTTAGAAATGTTTTGAGCTGATCTTAAACTTCAATTTCTGTGAGACATTCTTCTCCTTTTAGATCTGGATTCAGTAACCAATTAGCAGACTGGGTTATCTGGGAAACATGGGTGTTCTTTAGGTGGTTATTTTATTACTCATAAATTGCTGCGTCTAGACTTTAAAAAAAATCTTTTAAACACGTTATTCAGAGAATCAAGGGCATATTGTCAGCTGGTGAAATTGTCCTATCACCATTGACTTCAATGGAAATGGACGGAATCCATTGATTTCAATGGAGCTATGTGAGTTCACACCAGCCGGGGATCTTGGTAGATAAATTCTCATCACTTCAAGTTTTAAAATTTCATTAACATGATCTATTAGCTGTATTACAACGTTAGTCAAAATAAGTATTTCATAGCAGTTTCACAGGCAAGCCCCTGTACTTACCAGTCAATGCACTGTCATCAAGTATCTTCCCCCATTTTTGAAACTCTGTGCGGATTTTTGTAAACAGTCTAATTTCATTTTCAAACAACTTTTCTTCTCCTGTCACTGAACTCATGATGTCTTGATTAAACAGTTTGATTTTCTGTAATGAGATTGAAAAAAAACACCCTGAGTTCTGTAAAGGCAGCATAGCTAAGCAAGAGTGAATTTGATTCTATTTTCCTTGTGGATCTAGGCAATCTTTTATTAAATTCCAATCAGTTAGATTTATGCAAAGCCAATGAAGGTACAGGTACAATGTACACAGGTATCAATGCTGAGGGCCTACTTTTGTCTGCAGAACCTATATTACTGGGGGAACATTCAAAAAGAAAAGCATCTATCTTGACTTGCAGATCCCAGGTTGAGATTACAGGCCTGGCAGTTAGAAAAACGACAACCATATATTTGTAAACTGAGGACGTGTGTTATGGAAATCACTGAGACGTAACCATGGAACGCTATAATGTCATATTGACCAAGTTCTGTCCAGCGTTGAACTGCTCTACAAGTCCGTGGGATTTGTGCTGCTAACTCACTTTGGTGCTTTTGAAAATCCCAACCTAAATCTTAATTCACCTCCTTTGTCCCTTTCTCTTTACCCTAAAAGCTGATCTAATATCAGCCAAGATTTTCAGAAATGGGTGCCTATATCTAGGCTCCTAAATCCAGATTCAGGCACCTATATAAGTGGCCTGATTTTCTTGGCCATGGGTGGGTGCCCAGCATTTTGAAAATCAGACCATTTGTTTGGGTGCCTATATGTGGCTTGGGGTACCTAATTTTAAACACTTTTGAAAAACTTGTTCGTGGTTTTTTGTTTTGTTTTTTTAAATGTACTGTTCCTGGCAGCCTTTGAGTCTGAAGTTGTCTAGTTATCAGCCAGGACATTAGATGTATGAGCTTCTTCATCATCATTCAGTCCATGTGCCTCAGCCTGTTCTGGAGGGGTAGTTCATTCTCAGGGTTCATTTAGTCCTTGGTTTCTTTGCTGAGAGCGTGACCAATTTCTTCCTTACTGTGGAGTTCACTGAGAACTGCTGAGACCACCAACTCATTTCCTACAGACCACTGAGCAGCCATCACAACAATTAGCAGTAACAATTTTCCACACAGACCAAGAGGGGCCAGATGACAATCGCGAGGCTGGGTAGAAGCAGCCCTACATTATCCCACTTTTGTTAGTTTCATTTTTCATACTGAGAGATGTAGTTCTGTTGGGGGCCAGCTAGATATGTGGATATAAAAATTAATACCTTTGAGTAAATGTACTAATCTAAGCTTCCCCTATCCTGCGTTACCCTGAAACTAAAATTATGTGACCAAAGACCTTGGCTTTCTCAGGAGCTCACTGTCTGTGTTATTTCTACTGAATATTATGTTTGACCTGGGTTTCCTGTTCCATTTTGTTTTGCTGCCTGCTTGAACTCAAAGGGTTAAATCAGACTAGATTTGGGGATTGGCCTAGGCAGAAAACAAAACTAGGATTAACTGATCAGACAGTTTCAGGTACACACCTTCATAACAGCTAAGAGAGCAATGGGGCCATTATTGGGAGATGCTACTTCCAGATGCCAGTGAAATTAACAGGTTTTGTTTTGCCAAAGCTGAGACCTCACAGACTATATCAAAGGGAGGGGACTTCAAGTGACAGGGGCGGGGTGGCCCTGAGAGTGTCTGTAAAACACCTGACAGTTTGAGAGGTCTCAGTCAGAGGCAGAGGAAGCTTGTTGCAAGCAGTGTAGACTGGTTCTCCCAACTCAGAGACGGGGCAAAAACCAGACCTGCCTAAGCTGTGGACAGAGAGGTTAAGCTTGGGTAAGAGAATATGTGTGTAAGTCTGTTATTTTATATCCACTTCTCTAACTCCTGTGAATCTTTTGGGCAAAATACATCATGAAACTGGACACATTGAGCCAAGAGCATCCATGGTTTAAATCCAGGGATGCACTTATGCATGTTGTAAGCAATGAAAGCCCTACAAAATGTTGACGGCAGAAATGAATTTGTTCCCTTTGAAATTCTTGACCTTATCAAAATCAGGAAAGTTTAGGACTTGTTCAGCTCTCTTTGCCGTGCCACACAACCAAATACATATTTATACTTACATCTATTAGGAAAAATAACTTCTCGCCTTCTGCTTTTGGTGTGCCTTTGCCATATTTGCGTAACTCTTCAGTTGCTTTTTGGAGTTGAATGTTTATTTGCTCTTCTAAAACAGGCAAAGATTTCTAGGGGAGAAAAAACATCAATACTTGTACAGTTTGGACAATTCCATTCTTTGAAAGAAACAGAACATTTCAGAGTGTGACATGGAGCTTTATGAATCTTGCACGGCCCTTAAACGTCCAGGTATGCTCTGAAGTCTAAACCAACACTGCCTGTACTGAGAAAAGAATGGGGAAGGTTTAAAGAGTGGTGTTCTTCGGTGCTTCTCTTACATAAAAAAAAGCAGTGTTGCTCTGCTGGTCTAGTACAGCATCCTAGTTAGAGAACCAGTGCATCTTAGCAACCTTTTCATTCTTACTAAACAGTTGTTTACAAAAGCACACATAGTATCTGAAATATTTCATATTCACTCTGTATAAATTATTCAGGCTTCCAAAAGTTGTCAGTGATGATAACAGTTCGCTCTAGTTAGCACTATTCATCCATAGATCTCAAAGCGCTTTACAAAAGAAAGCAAGTATCAGAATCCCTACTTTAAAGACAGGAACACTGAGTCATGGAGAGATTACGTGATTTGCCCATGGTTAAACAGTAGGTCAGCTGCAAAGCTGAGAATCGAATACTGGCCAACTGACTATCGCTGGGTAAAATTTTTGAAAGAATAGTTTATTCACTGAAAAAAGCAGTTTCTGTCGACCCAAAACTATCTGAATATGATCCGATAGTTTCAGGTGGGGAAGAGCTGGACTCTTCTACTTTACTGACAAATTCCAAACATTTTTGGAACCAAGATGAATATTTCCCCCGATTATACCCCCGGTTTGGCAGCTGAACTGAAAAATCAATTAATCTCCCAGCTCTATACCTGACTACCAAGCCAAGGCTCAGTATAGTGGACCATGTACTTCCAGATTGCCATCAGGCAGGGTAATTAAAGCTATTCATAGAAATAATTTTTACAGGCCCAGTCCTCCAAAACTGCAGGATTGGGTCCTTTTTTCTTTTTTTTTTAATGGTTACTGATGTAAAGTGTTTCTTTGTTAGCTTACATTAATGTGTTCCACAAGCTCACTTGTAAGTTTCTCTGCCAAAATGGGGATAGTGGCCTTGTTTTCATCCAGAAGAACTCTGAAACAGAATAAGGAATATGAATATTCCTCGCATTTGCTGAATGTGACTCGCATTTGCTGAACAAGAGAGCAGTGTCTTCCCAAGTTCTGCAACACAAAGCAGGTAAATACAGTTTCTTCTGATCAAGCAGGGGAATGCTAGTGAAGGTGCAGCCATAGCCTCACTTCATCCTGCCAAATCTGCAAGATTAGATTTGAAATGATGAGCTGTTTGCTGAACAGACTGAGAACAGAAAAAGGTTCGGAACCATAACTTCAGAAAAAGATCATGAGATAAGAATATCCACATTTATTGCTGTATTATAAGAACGTATGTACTGCTATATATGGTAGGGATACTGATTCAGAATCACTTTTGGGTTCAAAAATTCTCTTTATGACTGAAATGCTGAAAAGCAATCATCTGTGGAGGAGAGCGTTCTCCTGACACAGACCATATCTTTCCTGGGAGTGAGTTTCCCCCATACTTCCCAGTGGACAGAACGATATGCATGAATGCCTGAGCCAGCAAAGCACTTTAAAGCACGTGCTTAACTTGACTCCTATGGGACTACTTCAGAGTTTAATGGTCACCATGTTTTTAAATGGTTTTCTGGATCAGGGCTTAAATCAAACCTGAATCTGAAAAGAAGCTGAGTTTAAGAGAAGTTAGTTGACATGTAAACTCTTTCTTGCATTTTGGAAAACACTACCACACAGACAATGCAAAACAAACAAACAGAACAAACAAAACCCCCACCCCAAGCACCCCAAGCTAAGTTTGAGGATAATTCTCATTGTGGGCCTAACCCAAATCCGATGGGAGTGAGCAGGAATCTTTCCATTGACCTCAATGGACTTTGGATCAGGCCCTTTAACTGTTTGAAAACTACCTAAAATGTTCATGCTGCTCAAAGAATTCTCTCTCCTTCTGGATTGCAGACGCCAGGGTGAGCTTGTCATGAATGTCTTGCTGCCCACGACATTTAACAATCATATAACCCTTCCTTAGGTGGATGACAAGGTTTCGTACAATATCAACAACTGACGACTCAGTTCCCCTGTCCACCAAATCTGGTTTTGTCAGGATCCCTGTGAAGTAATATGATGAGAAGATTAGACAAGCACAGAAATTAATGATGGGAAAGATCTATTGCGGGTATCTAGTCACCCAATGCAGCACTGTTCCCGACAGCATATACTAAAGCGACTTCTACAGTGGTGCTGTAAGTTTCCCCGCCCCCCGCATCTCCTCCCACTTTTTCCAGGAACACCAAATTAATAGCAGAGCTTTTACAATATTAACTTTTAATGTTTTCAGTTTTCAAGATATTTATAGGCATAGTATCAATGGCAGTAGGGCCCCAAATTGAGCTATCCCTTTAGGTATCCGTTCCCTTTTATCGGTGTGCAAAATTCATGTTATTCCACAGAGCTTGTTTTTTCCTCATTCAGGTAACTCTTGGCAGGGTTGGGGCAGGGTGGGAAGAATATTAGAACTCTATGACCTACCTTCCCCCCATTTGTATTTTTAAAAGTACGTCTCACCTAGAGTTCTCTCTCCATCAGGGTCTACCTCTTGAGCCATTTTCAGTGCCTCTGTTGTTGCGATATCCACATTACTTGGCACCACTACCAAATTTATAGTCTCTTGCTTAGCAATAAATTTTTTAATTAGCTTTTTGATCTGTAATAAAATATGGTAAGAAAGAAATGCAGCAAAGTTTGATGTGACAAATGGCTTTGGATGCCAGGCTGCTCATCATCTGACTAGGTGGAATGTCATACACACGATGGATACAATCATACAATAGAAGCTCAGGTGCAAATGTCAGTGGCTGAATTCAGCCTGATTATCTAAAGGTAATCCAAATGTGGTACATGCCACAGAACAGACTGGTTTTATATCAGCCTTGGGAAATGGTCATAAAATTTTACTAGGCCCGGAACACAATCTATTCAATGATGAATATTCTTATGATATTTTACTTGCATTAGAGACAACCAAATGCTATCGTCTATTCACAGCTAAGAAAAAAAATCTAGTTGGATTATATTTATACGTCAAGTTCAGGTAAAATGTAGAGCTAAATACATCTATCTCAAAAGTGTACTTCTCAAAAGAAAGCAAAATGTCTTTGCCTTTCAATGAGAAATTCATGAAAAGAAAAAAAAGGACATAAATTGTTACGCAAAAGTCAACATGGTTTCTGTAAAGGGAGATCATGTCTTATTAATCTATTAGAGTTCTTTGAGGGAGTTAACAAACATGTGGACAAGGGGGATCCAGTGGACATAGTGTACTTAGATTACCAGAAAGCCTTTGACAAGGTCCCTCACCAAAGGCTCTTACATATATTAAGTTGTCAGGGGATAAAAGGGAAGATCCTTTCATGGATTGAGAACTGGTTAAAAGACAGGGAACAAAGGGTAGGAATAAATGGTAAATTTTCAGAATGGAGAGGGGTAAATAGTGGTGTTCCCCAAGGGTCAGTCCTAGGACCAATCCTATTCAACATATTCATAAATGATCTGGAGAAAGGGGTAAACAGTGAGGTGGCAAAGTTTGCAGATGATACTAAACTGCTCAAGATAGTTAAGACCAAAGCAGACAGTGAAGAACTTCAAAAAAAGATCTCACAAAACTAAGTGACTGGGCAACAAAATGGCAAATGAAATTTAATGTGGATAAATGTAAAGTAAAGCACACTGGAAAAAATAACCCCAACTGTACATACAATATAATGGGGGCTAATTTAGCTACAACAAATCAGGAGAAAGATCTTGGAGTCATTGTGGATAGTTCCACGCAGCGTGCAGCGGCAGTCAAAAAAGCAAACGGGATGTTAGGAATCATTAAAAAAGGGACAGAGAATAAGACGGAGACTATCTTATTGCCCTTATATAAATCCATGGTACGCCCACATCTTGAATACTGTGTACAGATGTGGTCCCCTCATCTCAAAAAAGATATATTGGCATTAGAAAAGGTTCAGAGAAGGGCAACTAAAATGACTAAGGGTTTGGAACGGGTCCCAAATGAGGAGAGATTAAAGAGGCTAGGACTTTTCAGCTTGGAAAAGATATGGGGGGATATGATAGAGGTGTATAAAATCATGAGTGGTGTGGAGAAAGTGAATAAGGAAAAGTTATTTACTTGTTCCCATAATATAAGAACTAGGAGCCACCAAATGAAATTAATGGGTAGCAGGTTTAAAACAAATAAAAGGAAGTTCTTCTTCACTCAGCACACAGTCAACCTGTGGAACTCCTTGCCTGAGGAGGTTGTGAAGGCTAGGACTATAACAGGGTTTAAAAGAGAACTAGATAAATTCATGGAGGTTAAGTCCATTCATGGCTATTAGCCAGGATAGGTAAGAAATGGTGTCCCTAGCCTCTGTTTGTCAGAGGGTGGAGATGGATGGCAGGAGAGAGATCACTTGATCATTACCTGTTAGGTTCACACCCTCTGGGGCATCTAGAATTGGCCACTGTTGGTAGACAGGATAGTGGGCTGGATGGACCTTTGGTCTGACCCAGTATGGCCATTCTTATATTCTTAGAAATTTCTTTAGTTTTGACCTATCTTTTTGCTAAATTTTGTCTGTAGGGCTGACCAGCATGTGTTTCATTCTAAGCGACCACCACACTTCTTTTCAGCACTTCCTCCATCAATAACTGTCCTGTCTGTTATCTGCAACATCTTTAATTCTGGTTATGAGCTAAGTGAACTGTATAGAACTTTATTGTCTAGATCCTCCAGCAAAACCTTCTGTTTAAGATAATTTGTTCATTAGATCTCCACTAATGTAACTTAACTGTTTCCTAGCTCAGAACATGTATGTTGCATTACCTGTTCTCCAATGTCTTGTGGCTGATTCCCTACAGCCACCCTAGCAATCCCTGGCAGATCAATCAGTGTCAGATCTGGAACATTCGGAGAGCTAATTTCGAGGGAAATTAATTCCTGGCTAATGCCCACTCCTTCACCAGCCATTGCATCCTGGGCTACAAAGGAGGAAAGGGAAAGAGAAGGAAAGCAAAGTTTAGATCAGCACATATCAGAACTGAAAAGCCCCTGTTGCCACCTGTTTCTTTAAAAAAAAAAAAAAAAAAAAAGGCATTTTGGGACACAAAACTGCCCAGGAAAAAATCCCATGGAAATCAATCGACTCCTTTTCAGGATTTGAACCTTAATAAAACTTGAAGAATACACTGTCTATGACAGGGATTGCCAATCTTTGGCACGCGGCCCATCAGGGAAATCTGCTGGCAGGCCGGGACGGTTTGTTTACCTGCAGAGTCCACAGGTTCGGCCGATCGCAGCTCCCACTGGCCGCGGTTCACCGTTCCAGGCCAATAGGGGCTGTGACCAGCCAAACTTGCAGACACTGCAGGTAAACAAACCGTCCCGGCCTGCCAACGGATTTCCCTGATGGGCCGCATGCCAAAGGTTGCCGATCCCTGGTCTATGAATTAAACTTTCAGAAATCTCAATGTACAAAAATCAAATATCTGGAGATGGCTTATAAAAATAATAATATAGTGTTACAATAAAATACTAAGTATTACACAATTGATTCATCATCTTCAAAATGCTGGACATGCATTAGTTAATCCTTGACAACCTTGCAAGGTACCAAAGGATTATTTTACACATTCTATAAATGGATGAAGTGAGGCATAGAGATTAAGTGACCTGTCCAAGTTTATATAGAAAATCTGTGGCAGAGCCACAAACAGAATGGAAGGATAGTGAGTGCCTGTACTTTGCTTTAACCATCAGACCACACTGTCTAAATCAAACACCACCTCACAGAAGCCTGCTAGTACATGCGACTGATTTGTTAATTCAACATAACACCACCATTTTATAGCTCTGTATTGCTGCTATTTCTTGATATCAAGATAAATAATTTCTCATGAGAAACCTTCAGACGCATAATTAGCTTATTTGACTTTTATGTCACTTACCTCGCTACCGTACCAGTTTTTTAAAATTATTTCTTGAAAACCTTTGAGAATAAATGGTCACCTTCCTTTTACACAGCATCATAGTGTACAAGTATATCACTGTTGTTACCACTGTTACAAAATTACCATAAATTTGTACGAAGTATTTCATGTAAGGTATCAATAGAAAAGTTATAGACTGCTAAGTATGATAATCCTGTTTATATGCACGAATCATATTTGTATGTGAAGTTATGAATATTTGCTATGTATTTGTATCTCAAACATGTGTGGTGTTCTTGGGTAAACCTCCGCCTCCCAAGTCAGATTTCCATCAGGTCTAACCATCCATGTATTGATGGGCTATTCAAGACACTCAACTCAGCCAGTGAGTTCCTCCTGTAGATATTTCAGAGGGCACCGAGTACGGTGACCATATTTCCAAAAAGGAAGACGGGATATGGCACGGGGCTGGCCCTCCCTCTCCTCCCCATGAGGCTGGCCCAAGCCGCTCGCCTGAGCTCCCCACCCCAAGGGTGGGGGGCATGCAGGGCTCGGGCAATCAGCAACACACATACTGGATAGGGTGACCATATTTGCCAAAGGCTGGGGGTGGAGTCTGTGCTCCCCCTCACATTCCTCCGCACCCACCTTTTTTGACAACAGAGGGAATCTGTCACGTTTGCTCTTGCCAACTGATCAAGTTGACAAGAACAAATGGGACAAATACTCGCTTTTGCCAAAGACAGCTGGGACAGGGCTTAAAAAAGGGACTGTCCCTGCCAAAATGGGATGTATGGTCACCCTAGCACTGAGGCAATCGCTGCACAGTGACTCAGCAAGACATGTGATAAGGATATGTGACTTAAGAATCCATCTTTTTGCCAGTAACTTTCCAGGCACATGGGCTAAAGTATAAAAAAGGATAATGTGACATCACTACTTTGTCTACATTCCTACTTCACTCCTCTGGAGGGTGATTTCTAACAAGGAAGCTTTGAACAAGGGACTGATGACCCCCAACTTACTTGGGTGATCCAGAGAGACTTTTTGCAAGCTAGAGGACTTACCATCACTGCTATGATCCTGACCTCCAGACCCTAAAATCAGTTTGTAATGTATATGATCCTTTTAATCATTTAATAACTCTCTTCTTTTATTTTATATCAATAAACATTTAGTTTTAGATTACTAAAGGATTGGCATCTACGTTGTATTTGGTAAAATGCTAAAGTTTATAATTTGACCTGGCGTGTGTGTCTGACCCTTTGGGATTAGAAGAACCTTATGTATGGTGAATCTAGTTTTCAGTAACCTTTCATCATAAAGTCCAGTGGTCTGGGTGATAAGCCAGGGACTGGAATGCCTAAGGAGACTGTGTTTTTGTCTTCTTGTTCACCAGTATGGTGATACTTTTGTTACTGGCTTGATCAACTTTAATGACAGAATAACCACCAGTTTAGAGTGTGCCTGTTTCTCAGCAGTCTGTCCTGAGCTGGCATTTGCAGCTATGTCCCACTTAGGCACAGTGACATATACTTAAAACCAAACAGTGTTACGACCAATAACGATGAATGTAAGTATGCAATCTACGACAACAAGGACAATGAAAAGTTAAGCTTCAGAGCGTAAGATGATAGCCCTTAGGGGTGGGAGAGATGTTTTCTCCCATCACGTGGAACACTGTACAACTAGCTAACTACATGTTTTTTTGTCTTCCCATAGAATACTAGGTATTGACCAATGCCAAGTGCAAGATGGTGATTCAGATACTCTATGGCCTGAGCTGGTCTGAAAACTCCTGGAGCAAATCACTTTTGATGTAAAATGCTGCAACGCCACTGAGATCAGCTGAGTTGTGCCGGTTTATTCCAGGTGTGAATGTGGCTCCCTGTGTTCTTGGCATTCTCAGCAGTTATGATTAGGGTGTTAATTTGGGAAATGTTATGCTGCCTAACAGAAGGGAATAGAGGATGAAAAGGAGGATCTGATGAATTAAATCAGAATGCAATAAATAGCACTTACCTTTTCTTATTTCTTTTTCCACCACTGAGGGATCATGGAGTTCATCATCTATATCCCGGTAACTAATTTTCCCTTTCCAGTCCCGCTGAGGAGCCAGTTTTTTCAGTTTGAGCACTAAGGGACATCTGGTAACAATACCTGCAGTTGCCCATAAAGAGAGTTAATTCTGTTAATGAGCATCCTTGTTACTTTGAATGGGTACAGAGCACACCACAGAATGTAGCTTTTCCCACAGTATGCAGAAGAGTGCCCAAAGCATAGGTGGCGACTACGCTGGAGCACCCACTGGGAAAAATTGGTGGGTGTTCAGTACCCACTGGCAGCCAAGCTCCCCGCCCCAGCTCACCTCCGCCTCCTCCCCTGAGCACACTGTCCCCGCTTCTCCTCCCAGAGCTTGCCACCGCAAAATTTCGCGGTGTAACAAGCTGTGGGAAGGATGGGGGAGGAGTGGGAATGTGGTACGCTCAGGGGAGGAGGCGGGGAAGAGGCGGGCCCAGGGTGGGGATTTGGGGAAGGAGTCCAATGGGGCAGAAAGGGGGCGGAGTTGGGGCAGGGACTTTGGGGAAGGGGTTGGAATGGGGGCAGGGCAGGGGTGGAGCGAGCACCCACTGACACCAGGAGAAGTTGGCACCTGTGGCCCAAAGCTTTCAGTGTGTTCACACAGCTCACACACTATGGAATATCTGAGAGTTGGGAAAGGATGCTGGGCATTGGTAGCGCAGTGAGGAAAACTATCATGCCATTTGTATGCAGCACTTCGCAGTGACCATATTTTAAAAGTTCTTTCTGTTTTGAAAGTTTTCACATTTGTTTGAAAGCTATTTCATATAGTTAAAATGGGTAATGGAAACCAGTAATATATATCTGAAGAGAGAGGAAACTTTAAAGGTGTGTGTATGCTAGATGCTTTATACCTCGCACAGCCATTTGAAGTATCAAATCCCTTCTATAGAATTGTACCCTGATCCTGTTCTATAGTAGGGAAATGATTTTGTATTGTATTGTATAGGATTATTTTAAAAAAAGCTATACATGTATTAATTTCTACAGGTTTTTAAGAGTAATTTCTATAGAACCTGTTTAATTTTAATAAATGTTAAGGCCAGAAAGGACCATTATGACCATGTAGTCTGACCTCCTACGTAACACAGGTCTTAGAATTGCACCCAGTGATGCCTGCATCAGGCCAATATCTTCCTGTCATACTAGTGCATATCTTTTAGAAAAAACATCCAGTCTTGATTTTCATTTTCATAGAACCCTACTGGTTTCAACTCTATTAATCTCCATGGCACTTTCCCTTAGGAAATAGCAGCTGAACTTGATGGATACAAATAAGGAGGAGATTTCCACTCTGACCTACATCACACCCAGAAGGTGTGAAGTGAAGCAAGGATGCGGAAGAGTGCTCTGGAAGTACTGTGGTTTACCTGCCTTGTCCCTGCCAGTTCTTCTGTGGTTAGAGAGAGTAAAGTGACTTAGAATAACAACACCTTTTGCCAAGCTTTAACAAGGTATCTTTTGTAAATACCTGGAACACAATGAATGTGACTCCTGTTTAGACACTAGCTTTAGCATATACTGTCAGAAGGTCTTTTGCATGCCCATACGGCTGCCTGGGTCATGTGAGCTGCAGGTGTGTGTCCTCCTGTGCCAGCACAGGGTTGATATTCTGCTTCTGTACCAAATGACTGGAGGATAGCTAATGTGATGCCAATTTTTAAAAAGGGCTCCAGAGGTGGTCCCAGCAATTACAGGCCAGTAAGTCTGACTTCAGTACCAGGCAAACTGGTTGAAACTCCAGTAAAGAACAGAATTGTCAGACATATAGATGAACATAATTTGTTGTGGAAGAGTCAACATGGTTTTTGTAAAGTGATATCATCTCTCACCAATCTACTAGTATTCTTTGAGGGGGTCAACAAACATGTGGACAATCCAGTGGATATACTGTACTGAAATTTTCAGAAAGGCTTTGACAAAGTCCCTCACCAAAGGTTCTTAAGCAAAGTAAGCTGTCATGGGATAAGAGGGAAGGTCCTCTCATGGATTGATAACTGGTGAAAAAATAGGAAATAAAGGGCAGGAATAAACCGTCAGTTTTCAGAATGGAGAGAGGTAAATAGTGGTGTCCCCCAGGGGTCTGTACTGGGACCGGTACTATTTGACATATTCATAAATGATCTGGAAAAAGAGGTAAACAGTGAGGTGGCAAAATTTGCAGATGATACAAAACTCAAGATAGTTAAGTCCAAAGCAGACTGTGAAGAGCTATAAAGGGATTGCACAAAACTGGGTGACTGGGTAACAAAATGGCAGATGAAATTCAATGTTGATAAATGCAAAGTAATGCACATTGGAAAACATAATCCCAACTATACACATAAAATGATGGGGTCTAAATTAGCTGTTACCACTCAAGAAAGAGATCTTGGAGTCATTGTGGATAGTTCTCTGAAAACATCCACTCAATGTGCAGTGGCAGTCAAAAAGCTAACAGAATATTGGGAATCATCAAGAAAGGGGTAGATAATAAGCCAGAAAATATCATATTGCCGCTATATAAATCCATGGTAGGCCCGCATCTTGAATATTGCGTGAAGGTGTGGTCACCCCATCTCAAAAAAGATATTTTGGAATTGGAAAAGGTTCAGAAAAGGGCAACAAAAATGATTAGGGGTTTGGAACGGCTTCCGTATTAGGAGAGATTAATAAGACTGGGACTTTTCAGCTTGGAAAAGAGACAACTAAGGGGAGATATGATAGAGGTCAATAAAATCATGACTGGTGTGGAGAAAGCAAAGAAGGAAGTGTTATTTACTTCTTCTCATAACACAAGAACTAGGGGTCATGAAATGAAATTAATAGGCAGCAGGTTTAAAACAAACAAAAGGAAGTATTTCTTCATACAACGCACAGTCAACCTGCCCCACCCCAGCTCCCACTGGCCGGTTTCTAGTACTGGGTCGCGACCTGAAGTTTGAAAACCACTGTTCTAAGATATTGATCAGTGTTTAAAATCTTTCTGTGGCTCTGATGAAGGAAAACTTTATTTTAAATATGAAAATAGAGCCTATGGAAAACGAAATTAAAAGCTGCATCTTGGCATAAGGAATGGTGTGGAATATACTGAAATACTGGATGTTATCAGAAAATAGTTTCATGTGCTTGAAACATTACTGCCCATCAAATATGAGCCACCCTGAAACTGTGGAGGTGTATTAGATTCCTTGCGGAATTTCAGTAACATACTCACTGAATGCGGCAACCCCACTGAAAACATGGCTAAGCTAAAGTATCAAGTCCCCTTTATATCTTTCTGTGATTGGAATTGGGTGCTGGTTATGAAGAGATCTAACAAATGATTTCTTGAACTAAAAAATGTTTCCTTAATATGTTTCCTGATCTGTGTAGATCAACCATAATGATTAAGCAAAAATTAGATATACTATATCAAAAGTGATAAAAATTCAATATTTATTGAGGAATTGAAAGATTTTTCAACTGGTAGGGAGTTTGCAGTTTGTTTTATTTAATGTAATGAATAAGGATGTACATCCTTCTGAACTGCAAAAAGTCCCTCTTACCTAGTAGAACACTTCTAGATGTTTCCCACCTGACTGGAAAAAGTGACTTACTGCCCAGGGATATGGTCATAACTTGAACTGCTCAAAAATTTTCTGACAATTTCCAGCAATGTTCTGAATCAGAAAATGCTGATTCAACAAAATCAAAATGTTCATGGAATCATAGAACTGGAAGGAACCTCAAGAGGTCATCTAGTCCAGTCCCCTGCACTCATGGCAGTACTAGGTATTATTTAGACCAGTCCTGACAGGTCTTTGTCTAACCTGCTCTTAAAAATCTCCAATGATGGAGATTCCATAACCTCCCCAGGCAATTTATTCCAGAGCTTAACCACCCTGACAGTGAGGAAGTTTTTCCTAGTGTCCAATCTAAACCTCCCTTGCTGCAATTTAAGCCCATTGCTTCTTGTCTTATCCTCAGAGGTTAAGAAGAACAATTTCCCTCCCTCCTCCTTGTAACAACCTTTTATGTACTTGAACACTGTCTCAGTCTTCTCTTTTCCAGACTAAACAAACCCAATTTTTTCAATGTTCCCTCATAGGTCATGTTTTCTAGACCTTTAATCATTCTTGTTGCTCTTCTCTGGACTTTATCCAATTTCTCCACATCTTTCCTGAAATGTGGCACCCAGAACTGGACACAATACTCCAGCTGAGGCCTAATCAAAGTGTAGTAGAGCAGAAGAACTACTTCTCATGTCTTACTTACAACACTCCTGGAAATACATCCCAGAATGATGTTCGCTTTTTTTACAACAGTGTTACACTGTTCACTCCTATTTAGCTTATGGTCCGCTATGACCCCGAGATCCGTTTCCACAGTACTCATTCCTAGGCAGTCATTTCCCATTTTGTATGTGTGTAACTGATTGTTTCTTCCTAAATAGAGTATTTTGCATTTGTCCTTATTGAATTCCATCCTATTTACTTCAGACAATTTCTCCAGTTTGTCCAGATCATTTTGAATTTTAATCCTATCATCCAAAGCACTTGAAACCCCTCCCAACTTGGTATCATTCGCAAACTTTATAAGTGTACTCTCTATACTATTATCTAAATCATTGATGAAGATATTGAACAGAACTGGATCCCGAACTGATCCCGGCAGAAACCCACTCATTATGCCCTTCCAGCATGACTGTGAACCACTGATAACTACTCTCTGGGAACGGTTTTCCAACCAGTTTTGCACCCGCCTTATAGTAGCTCCATCTAGGTTGCATTTCCCTAGTTTGTTTATGAGAAGGTCATGTGAGACCGTATCAAAAGCTTTACTCAAATCAAGATATACCACATGCCCCCTATCTACAAGGCTTGTTACCCTGTCAAAGAAAGCTATCAGGTTGGTTTGGCACAATTTATTCTTGACAAATCCATGCTGATTGTTACTTATCACCTTATTATCTTCTAGATATTTGCAAATTGATTGCTTAATTATTTGCTCCATTATCTTTCTGGGTACAGAAGTTAAGCTGACTGGTCTGTAATTCCCTGGATTGTCCTTATTTTCCTTTTTATAGATTGTCACTATATTTGCCCTTTTCCAGTCTTCTGGAATGTCTCCCGTCTTCCATAACTTTTCAAAGATAATTGCTAATGGCTCAGATATCTCCTCAGTCAGCTCCTTGAGTATTCTAGGATGCATTTCACCAGGTCCTGGTGACTTGAAGACCTCTAACTTGTCTAAGTAATTTTTAACTTGTTCTTTTCCTATTTTAGCCTCTGATCCTACCACATTTTCACTGGCATTCACTATGTTAGATGTGTTTCAGAGGAACAGCCGTGTTAGTCTGTATTCGCAAAAAGAAAAGGAGTACTTGTGGCACCTTAGAGACTAACCAATTTATTTGAGCATGAGCTTTCGTGAGCTACAGCTCACTTCATCAGATGTTTACCGTGGAAACTGCAGCAGACTTTATATACACACAGAGAATATGAAACAATTATTAGATGTCTAATCACCACCAACCTTCTTGGTGAAAACCGAAACAAAGAAGTCATTAAGCATCTCTGCCATTTCCACATTTTCTGTTGTTATTCCCACCCCCCATCCATCATTGAATAACGGGTCTACCCTGTCCATGGTCTTCCTTTTGCTTCTAATGTATTTGTAGAATGTTTTCTTGTTACCCTTTATGTCTCTAGCTAGTTTGATCTCGTTTTGTGCCTTGGCCTTTCTAATTTTGTCCCTACATACTTGTGTTATTTGTTTATGTTCATCCTTTGTAATTTGACCTACTTTCCACTTTTTGTAGGACTCTTCTTTGATTTTTAGATCATTGAAGATCTCCTGGTTAAGCCAGGGTGGTCTCTTGCCCTACTTCCTATCGTTCCTATGCAGTGGGATAGTTTGCTCTTATGCCCTTAATAAAGTCTCTTTGAAAAACTGCCAACTGTCTTCAATTGTTTTTCCCCTTAGACATGCTTCCCATGGAATCTTACCTACCAACTCCCTGAGTTTGCTAAAGTCTGCCTTCTTGAAATCCACTGTCTTTATTGTGCTGTTCTCCCTCCTACCATTCCTTAGAATCATGAACTCTTATCATTTCATGGTCACTTTCACCCAAAACTGCCTTCCACTTTCAAATGCTCAACCAGTTCCTCCCTATTTGTCAAAATCAAATCTAGAACAGCCTCTCCCCTAGTAGCTTTCTCCACCTTCTGAAATAAAAAATTTGTCTCCAATACATTCCAAGAATTTGCTGGACAATCTGTGCCCTGCTGTGTTACTTTCCCAACAGATGTCTGTCTAGTTGAAGTCCCCATCACCACCAAGTCCTGTGCTTTGGATGATTTTATTAGTTGTTTAAAAAAAGCCTCATTTACCTCTTCTTCTTAGTTAGGTGCTCTGTAGTAGACCCCTACCATGATATTACCCTCATTTTTTACCCCTTTTATCCTTACCCAGAGACTTTCAAGTTCTTCCTGCTTATTCCCTATACTTTTCACATTAGTATACAGACATCTAAGATACTGATTTGATTCCTTCCCCCCCCCCCAGTTCTGTGTTGTCTCTCCTTTATTTCCTTTATGATGCATGGGGATGTGTTGATTTAACCAAAATTTAATTTAGAAAAACCTAAACTATTGACTTAGATTTTTTTTCATTTCAGATGACTTTTTGTTTCAATTTTTATTTTATATTCGAAGTTATAATAGAACATAAAGTCAACACTGAAACAAAACAAAACATTCTGATGCTATTGAATCTAACTGTTTCAACTGACCCAAAATAATGTTTCCAAAAGTTGTTTCACAATTAAGTCTGAAATACTATGTTTTATTCCCGCATGGAATGAAAGCAAATTTCAAAATAGTGGAATTTCCCACAAAAGGGATGTTCCAGGTGCCACACAGTTCTCATCATAACAGCGTTTTCTGTATGATGGGATGAGGAAAATACAAATTCTTTTGGGTTGCGTCAGGGATGAATCTAAACCCAACTTTCAGTATCCCCAAACTGACATGAATTACAGAATATCAGATAGAAACACACCACTGCGACTCGGGGAAGAGTCCGATTTCTGAGATGAAAAGCTGAAAGGTAAATTCTTACCACTGCCTCTAGGGAGAGCAACTCCGGACAGGGCTTCTAGAACCGAGCTTTTTCCAGAACTCTGGTCTCCAATCACTGCAATTGCTGGCAAAGCCAGGTCCTTTTCTACTCCAAGCGCTCTCAGGGAGTCAATGAGATCAATACAGGGACGGATTTTCTCCTCATATTGGTTGTACAAGGTGTGTTCTGCGTTCTGTAAGAAAAACTTTACATTTCATTGAGCTCATTTCACAGAATCAGGCAAAGTTAAACATGTCTGTGCCATAAATGATGTACATCATCAGCAAACTGTCCTTCACCCCACCATACCACTAGCTTTGTACTGTGAGCTACAAGCCTTCTGTAGTATTCTTGACAAGGTAAACATGTTTCTGTAAATTCAGCAAAATTTAGCTAATTTACACCAATGACTGAAATATCCATTGCAAATTACTGTATTTTATAAATTAGCAAGTGAATACACAATAAGAAAAGCAAGAACACCACCCCATCAAATATCCTTTCTTCAGTTATTTTTGGTAACTGCAGTTTTTTCTTTTATCTATAATGCATCATACATTTACAGTGCAAATATCTGTAATAAAAAATAAATATAAAGTGAGTACTGTACACTTTGTATTCTGTATTGTAATTGAAATTAATATATTTGAAAATGTAGTAAACATCCAAAAATATTTAAAATAAATGGTATTCTATTGTTTAACAGCGTGATTAATCTTGTGATTAATTGTGATTAATTTTTTTCATCGCTTGACAGCCCTAATGTTATGCTATAACAGGTCAGGCAACTTCCTATCTTAATCTAAAATTTGGTATCTGTGTATAGAGCTAAAAAGCTAAATTCTTATCTTCCACCCTGAATTAAAAACACTATTTCAGGAAACAAACATATCAAAACACAAATCCAGAATAGCTATCTTTAGTGATAAGTCAGACAATACTTATCACCAGGGGAAAATATTTTTGAACCCCCTGATCATAACTGCAATGATTATTATCTAATAACTTTATTATTTAACTGGTTTATTAACTTTAATATAAACTTTTCAAATGTCTATTCTGATTTTCTCAGTGTTAAATATAAACATAAGAAATATTAAATAAGAGTCTTGGTATTTCTATCAATTTCTATCGAATACACTGGAGCCTCATGTAGAAGAACAAAAACCCAAATACCATGATACCCCTTTAAAGTTTCTAATTGTGAATATTCATTAAGATATACATTCTAGGGGAAAGTTGGAGTTAGGCTGTGGCCCTTCTATTTTCTATGCCTACATTTTTTTTTACACCTGCAAATGAAATGCAGGTGCAAATCTTAGTAATTACATGACTGCGCATTAAAATCTTAGAAGAGGTGTCAGGTGTGAGCAGGATTGGTGCTCACACTTGCACACACAATCACACACAGAGACAGAAAGAACTGTTTTGATCTGTGTCTGCAGATTGTGTATGCAGAAGTGAGCCCAGACCACTGAAAATTCAGCCCTGACAGCAGCTGAACATTAATCTCAGAGGAGTCAGTTTTCACTCAAATGCCAAATATCTGACTTGCCTTATTCTGTTGCTCTTGGAAATTATATATTCCCCCTTGCTGTTTCATCTTTTCTTGATGATATTCCTCAGACTCCGCCCATTGGACTGCTGCTGTGTGTCTCACACAGCAGCCCTGGGACTTGTCCATTAACTGTCTGTCACTGAAAAGCAAATGTCTGGTCCAGCAACTCTTCTATACGGCTCCTGAAATGATAGAAGGGCTTTAGTGGATTCAGCTCTGCAATAGTAATAACTGTGGACAAAGTCAAAACCATATTGTTATTGGTTGGGCCAGATCTCTGCTAGAATCAGCTGGTGTAGTTCTTTTCAAACCAATGGATGAGTGTTGGTTTGTACCAGCCGAGATTCTGACCCCTTATTTTGCTCCCTGGGAATTCTATGCCAAAAAATTAAAAATTCTGTGCATATTCTAAAATTCCACATATTATATTTGTCAAAATAACACAGTATAATCACACCAGTTTCAATTATTTTGGTAATTTATTTCAAAATACCTGTCAGCAAGTAGGTCTGTAACAATACAGACAACAAAAAAGATTCCCCCAGATGCAGAGAGCTAAAGAAACCTCTGTACGCACATGATCCGCACTACAGGATCAAGGTATAAGTGACCCGAAAGTAGGGGAGATGGGGAGGAAGGCAGAGAGCACATTAGTCAGTTGAGAGACTGCATTAGCTTAGTGGGGGCTGTCCCCAGCCTCTTCCCAGGGAGAGGTGAGAGTGCTCCCTGCTTCTCTCAGGTCAAACAGACCCCAAGACCCACTTAGCTGCACCTAGCACCCTCCCTTCTTTCACTCTCCTTCCCTCAGGATCCTTGTCCCAGGGTCTTTTCTCCCTCAGCTCCTTCTCCCACACTCAGTGTCCCCTCCCTCAGGGCACAGCCCTGGGCCCTCACCTCTCCCTAGAGATTGACTCCCCTTTCCCATCCCACTGGCCCGCCCCCCACCACTGGGGACTCTCTGCTTCTGCCCCTCAACCACCTCTGGGGCCCCTGTGCTTCCCCTCCCACCTTGACTGACTCTTTACTTGCCTGCCCCATCCTCAGAGGCCCTAGTGCAGTGGAGGAAACTGATCATGTGAGCTGCAACCGGACAACCCCGACTCCTGGAGGAGGGGATCTGCCTGGGTGCTGCAGCAGGTAAGAGCTCCAATGGGGGCTAGGCCTTGTGCTGCAAGCAGACCTCTGGTGTGAAACTTGGGAGAGGAGGGAGGAGCCCCTCCACCCTCCTTAAATGACGCCCCTGGCCAAGGCTCCCCAACAGCTGCTTGTGTCAGCCCCAGCCCAATTCATTTTTCAAAAGGACGAATCTGGACAACTTGTGGCTGACTCTTTACTCTGGAGGCTCTGCTTCTTGGGGCCACTCCCTTTGCTTAAAAGTGGTCTGTAAAAGAACAAAAAAGGGGTTGTGGCCTTTTTGCTGCATTATATTATGAAAAAGAGAACTGGAAGTTTTTTATTTTTTCTTTTCCTGTTTAGTTTTAATGTAGTAAAAATTCAGGTTTTGTCTCTCCTCCTTTTCCTGGAAGAATGTCTGAATGGCTGGAGAAACAGGAGGCTTATGATCTCAAAGTTACTATGGCAATTAGACTGATTGAGAGAGGCAGTGATTTTTTTTTCTTTAATGTAGTTGGTTTAAAAATGGAGGGGGTGTTTGTTTTACTGAAAACCTACTTAATTGAGATGCTTGAAAAAAGGAGTAGGAAGAAAAATTCGTTAGTAGAAGTATAACTCTCATCCCTTTAATTAATGGCTGACCCAGACTTCTGGGTCTTCTAAAACAAGCCTAGAGCAAAATGCGGAAGACTAGACTTAACATTAGTTATAGTTCTAATGTAGAAAACCAGCAGGAAAAAAAAACAGAACTTTTAAAAAACACCAGCCATTTAGGGTTTCTTTATACTTCATAAACAAGAAAAAATGGTACATGCCCTTTGTTGTTGTCAACAGGACTGCTGCTAGCAAAATCACACATATTATTCCCTTCCAGAGCAACTTGTAATGCCATTCATCAATATAATGCTGGGTTAATTTTTTCCTTCGCCTTTATGTATTTATCTCCCAATGTGTCATGAATCCATTCCTAAATACACCTGAAATAGCACCCACTAATTTCATTGTTAGTAATTAAAATTATGCATTAATTAACAAGTTTTTTAATATGTGACCCAGACTCGAATCCTGCTCACTTCCCCATGGCTGTTTCGGAGCTGTGGTGCTAAAAGAAATAGCCAAAATTTAGGGCATGTCTACACTACCACTTATGCTGGTAAAACTGGTCAGCTCAGGGGTGTGAATATTCCAGTCCCTTGAGTGACATAAATTACGCTGGCGTAAGTGGTAGTGTGCACAGTGCTATGTTGGCAGAGGAGTTTCTCCCGCTGCTCGTTAGGGGTGGTTTAATTATGTGGAGGAGAGATCTCTCTCCCCTCATCTTAGAGTAGCTACATCAGAGATCTTAGAGCAGTGCAGCTGCGCCGTTGTAAGCTCTATGGTTGAGACATGGCCTTACTTCAGTCACTAAATCAAGCAGCTGTTGAAACTGAGTGCACAGGGGACCTGACTGTTTAGTAAGAAGGTGCCATTTTCCCACACCCTCTTTCCCAAACATAATTTTAATTCAACTTTTCTCCACCGGAAAAGCGGCACAGACTTCTGCCTGCGATATTGTTGTGATTGCCTCAGAACTATGGCCCTCAACCCAGAGGCCGAGATTGGGGCAGGGCCTGGGCGGGGTATTGCCCCCCAAACCGTATACCGGTCCCCGCGCGGGCAGCAGCCGCTTCACCCACAGGCGCCCGCGCCCCTGCCGCGCCCGCAGCCCCGTGCGGGGCCAGCAGTGTGCGGAGCCTGCCGGACGCCCGGGGGCGGGGCTCTGGCGTTAAATCAGCGCAAGCTGCGCGCCCGTGTCTTGGGCAGCGGGGGGGGGCGGGATTTAACCACGGGACACGCCGTGCCCTGGCCCGGGGCCCCCTCTCACCGGCGCACCCCCTGCAGGGGGGGCTGCCCCACAGGACGGGGGCTGCAAGGGTGGAAGCTGTGCGGAGCAGGGAGGGAGGCTCACCCGCAGCCACAGGGGAGCAGGCGGGGACGCGGGCCGGAGGACTCAGGAGGCGCACCGGGCAGCTGGCCGCAGAGGAGCGGCGCTTTGGCGGGGCTGCCCCCCCGCTCCTCCTAAGTCCTCCCGCCCGTGCTCGCAGGGCCGGCTTCAGAAAGGGGGCGGGGCTTTAAGGGCTGCAGGGCGGGGCGCCGGGGCCCACTTCGACCCGGGCTGCAGCCCCTAAAGCTCTTGGGGTGCGGCCCTGCCGGGCAGGGGGGAGGCAGCTCTGAGAATCGCGGCCAAGGGGAGCTGCGGGGGGGCGGTGCCTGCGGGGCAAGCACAGGGCTGTGCAGCGCCTCCTACACTCCCCACACCGAATGGGAGCTGCCCCAGGTTAGTGCTCCAAACCCCTGCCCCAGCCCTGAGCCCCCCTCCCTCACCCTAACTCCTGACCAGATCCCCCCCCCAGCCTGCTCCCGCACCATTGCTCCCACCTGGACCCCGCACCCCAACCCTGAGCCCCCCCCGCACCATTGCTCCCACCTGGACCCCGCACCCCAACCCTGAGCCCCCTCCTGCACCATTACTCCCACCTGGACCCTGCACCCCAACCCTGAGCCCCCTCCTGCACCATTACTCCCACCTGGACCCTGCACCCCAACCCTGAGACCCCCCCCTCCGCACCATTACTCCCACCCAGACCCTCCACCTCCAGCCCACTCCCACACCCTAACTACCTCCCAGACCCTGCATCCTGAGCTCCCGGAGGAGAATGCAGAAAAAAAAATGAAAACCAGGGTTGGGGTTGGGGGAGAGATAAGAGAGAATTCCTGCCTCTCTCCCTCAATTCCTCGTTGGGGTGGGGGGGCAGGATCTAGGGATGGGTTCTGTTGGTCCCCTCCCAGGGCAGGGGTACAGGATCTAGGGAGGTCCCTATGGGGTGCAGGGGGTTCCTGGAGGCTGAAGGGGGGTCTGTTGGTCCCTCCTTGAGTCAGGGGGGATGGGATATGGGGGGGTTCCCCATGCAAGTGCAGGGGTGTCAATGGGGCTGTGGAGGTGGTCTGTCAACTGGTAAACCTGGAATTTAGACCTGTACCCACTATTAATAGTATTAAGCCCTCCCTACAACCCCCCCAAATTTAGAAGTCAAACTATGCCTATGTCTAAATCCCATCCTCTTTGTTATACTTTAACTTCACACAGCATCCCAGAGGAGATCAAAGTCGGACCAGACGTAGTGTTCACAGCACTGAAAACTATTAGAGGTTATCCAGGCTGTCTGTCTCTCTCTCACACACTCATCTAAAAATGCAGTGCACTTTAACAATTTAAAACGTTGGCTCCCAAGCACATCCTCAAAGAGGTAACAAACTTTGTATTTATTTTGCAACCTGTATCATTATGCTGGTAGAGATACTGATAATTTTATAGGGAAAATGCCTATGCCCAATAATTCATTTATTCCTCTCTTATTTCAGATTTCCTTGCAGTGTCTGCCAGCCTACCCACACTTAGCTATGAAAAGAGATGAATTAAACATACCCACAAACTTTTAAATACTTACTGAGAAGAGGCGAAAAAAGTTCCTTCCTGTATTGTGCTCGGTTCAAGAAAAAACTAATACAGAATTCTTTTGTTCTTAACCTTGTCACCAGCTCCACCTACAATACATGACAGAAAACAGGAGAAATGAAAGTTACTCAAAAGCTTACCATTTGGTGGCAGCACTGTGAACTGATTTTGTAATGCTATACATTTTCTTTCTTTTACACTTTTGTCATTAACTCCATCCACATTCTCAGGCAGTAATCAGGGGAAATGAAACTAACTTGAAAGAGTATCTTAGCATCACTGTAAATTAGTTTCACAATGGAATTCATGTTTCCAGAATCAGTGTTGCATTTACTCTCACATGTTCATAGAATCATAGAACCTGGGTTCTATGACTGGAAGGGCCCTCAGGAGGTCATCTAGTCCAACCCCCGGCTCAAAGCAGGATCAATCCCCAACTAAATCATCCCAGCTAGGGCTTTGTCAGGCCTGACCTTAAAAACTCCTAAGGAAGGAGATTCCCCCACCTCCCTAGGTAACCCATTCCAGTACTTCACCACCCTCCTAGTGAAAAAGTTTTTCCTAATATCCAAC